AAAAATATCTAGGATAATGTTTTCTCAAATACTCCATCATGTCACCCTTCATGCTAAAGTATTTTTTTCTTTGTCATCACATTGCGTGTTTTGTTGAATTTGCATTACTATCACTTCATCATTAAACCAGGGGGCTAGTCATCCTTAGTCTCTACAGTCAGACATCTAACATTTTCAACATGGGTATTCTTAGCACACTGATCATATACAGTTTTACGAAAGAAAGGTTCCATTAATTCTTGTAATACCTTAAACTTCTTTACACTGGAGTCGATGGATTCCTGATTTAATTCCCCTCAAATCTGGACATGTTCCTTAAGCTTGTCAGAATTTATATTTAATGACTCTGTGACTCCATATATATTTCGGACTGTCCTTCCCGTTACATTCGCCTTCAGCAGTATCATGTACTGTGGACACAGTCTATCAGACTCAGACACAGAAAGTAAAATAATTTAATGATCCATATATATCTCTAAATGTGGTTCGCAGACCAAGGTCCACATAGCTTAATTAATCTAGCACTTAGTTATTGGTACCAGGATCTGGGTTTACCCTATTAGGTACATTACAATCAACAGAATCAACCAAGTAGTTTAAATAGATTGTCTCTAACTCATGAAAAATGTCACAGTTGTAATGTATATATTACTGCGAGGAACTCGGAGGAACATACGTAAAGATAACAGTAAAGTCTTTACGCTGGTCACGTATACACTTATCAATAGTCACGGGACGGGTATTTTGGTATCAACAAGAGAATTTCGAACAGAAACAAAGTTATAAATACTATCGCGTATTAGCAAACTATTTCCACCCCGTTGTGTATATCGAGCTAATTTTCTAGATATAAAAACAGACGTGAAATGGTCAATATTTACAGTGTAATTGTTTGGGATCCAACATTCGGATAAAACAAATATTTTGTTGTAAGATAGAATCAATTTTCTAAAATCTTGTTCATTGAGCTTCTTATCAAAACCACCATTAACTCATGATAAAACTGTCCGGAATGATTAGCATCATACGACTCCCCTGACGTCCCTAGCTGGGTGTGGCAGTGTTCCAGAACCCACGTGCTTGCCACCTGAATAGCGGCCCTTGCCAGCGGCAGTACCTTCAGTACCCCCAACTGGTGCAGGAGCTGAGGTGTAAAGTTTACAATCTATGAATAGTTTATCGCGCACCAGCAGATTGTTGTGACCGTTGGCCCTGGCCTGTTTCCTGATCGGGGACAAGTTACGACGTTCGTTCTCAATCTCGACAGGATATAGTTTGTTTTATACTATAAGGACTTCCACTTAGTTTGAACGCCTGACTTTTAACATGTAGGAGGTCTTTGTAATAAGTAAAACTTGCCACCACAGGTCGCGGCTTGCCGTGCTTAGTCCTCCCGAAACGGTGAACATTTCCGAACTCAACGTGGTTTTCGACTCCTTCAATGTAATTATCCGTAAAGAAAATCCCGCAACACTGCCTCCGTGTTCTCCTCCTTGTGTTCCCCGCGCAAACCGCTAAAAATCAAACTGTCCTTCATAGAACGGCAACGAAGGTCGAGAAAGTCATCGTTAATTTTCGCTTTCTCCCTTGTCATAGCGTCTATGTCCTTTTTCCCTTTATAACTCAGCGGCAGTGTTGTTCTGGACGTCACTCAAAGAAGCCTTGTTTGCGACAACTTGGCTCTTTACCGAATCAAAAATATCACTCAGTGATTGAGCGCTCTTTTCAAAAGCACGGGACTTTGAATCAGTGACATAAATCTTATTTTCGAGCTCACTATTTGTGACTTTCATAGTAGTGGACTTTGTTTGGGCATCACCCTTAGGCATAATAATAATAATAATAATATACAGCATTTATATAGCGCCCTATGTAATTTGTTAAATTACTCTAAGGCGCTTTCCAACATATGGATAATAGTAATGGTTATAATTGTGAAAACAAACAACAAAGGCTTGCAATCACTTTCATACATTTAACAAGCAATGTGCACATAATTGAACAAATAAAAGGGTGGTATTTGCATGACGTCTTTGCAAAGATTCTAAAATGCAGACGTGAAGAGGTGAGTTTTTATGTCCCTCTTGAACTTGGCCAGGGTATTCGACTTCCTAATAGCAGATGGTAAGCTATTCCACAACGTAGCCGAAACCCTCCCAAAGCATCTGTTTCCGTAGGTCACAGTACGAGATTTTGGGACACACAACAAAGATTCTGACTCCGACCGCAGTGATCTTGACGGCTGATACAGGGTAACAAGTTCCTGTAGGTACTGAGGAGCTGTTCCATTCAGTGCCTTGTATGTGTATACCAGAATTTTGTACTGCGACCTGTATCGTACAGGAAAATCTTCAAAAACCTTGGTCCAAATTATTTTTGGACACAGAAAAAAGTGTGTTGCCCTACAGTCAAGTAAACATGGTATTGTATTCAGAATAATAAAATGAGATGCGTTTCCAATTCAAGTTTAGTAGTTACTTGTACCGCGTTTTGAGCCGTGGTCACATCTTACGGTCACGCACGTAGTTGACTGTAGTGGGGGATGACGGTAGTTGACTGTAATACTCCGTATACGTAGGTGACCTTAGTTAAACGTAGTATATGGAGTTTGACATAATTCACTGTAGTAATAAACGTAGTTTGAACTTCAAGAAAGCCATGATTTGGCCGTGGTTAGCCAAAAAATGTTCAACATATTCAAAGAGTTTGGATGCCAATACCCTACTGTGACTGTACTCTGAACGTACATGTAGTTGACCCTACTTGACCGTAGTGTTTACCATAGTTGACCGTAATAACACGGCACTACGTACGGTTAACACAACGGCCAAGTAGGGTCAAAAAAGGAAAATTACTAGGGTTAGTCTACCTTTGAAAAACGTTCACAGTACGTTCAAAGTACTGTTTAGTACGGTTAACTAGGGTCAACTAAGGTGAAGTAGGGCTACGTAATGTTGAATTTAGGAGTTAGGGTTAGGATTAAGGAACTACGTTCAGTGTATAACAACAAAGTTTGATTGTACGATAAATGTTTATATTACATAATACAGGCTATTTCCGTGCAATATTGCCGTTCAATAAAACGATATAGCACACGTACAATAAACATGCAAATGAGTCTTGTCACCGTGGGAAACAGGTCATATTCTTACGCACTACAACTTCTTCGTTTGTAAACAAAATGGCTGACCGAGCACTGGGAGATTAAAATTTACAAACGAGTTTAATAAATTCAATAGTATATACACACGAGTGTAAGCTTCACACAAATTCAACACATGCATGTTCTAATTCCAATTGAACTTCTCCGACATGCACACACTTGTAACCGGTCAACTTCATCAGTGTTCCAGCTTCATAGCGGATTCCACAGTATCTTTTCTGGCTCAGTGACAGGTGGAAACATCGAGGTTCACATTCACAAACAACCCTCTCCAATGGAATGCGCTTGTGTTATAGAGAGTGACAATCACTCCAGCCCCTTTAAACTTTTAAAAAATGCAGACTTCGATGTGTATTGTGATGACCTTTACCCTGACAGTGCACGCGCCGTTGTGCCAAATATGTGACGTCACTGCTATTTTCTTAAACGCCAATTCGTTGAATTGTTTTCGTATCAAAAATGAGTGTTAATGTTGTTATGATAATTATTAAAATATTGGTTGATGAAGAAAACACACATGATTGTTTGTTCATTGAAAAGGTTCTCGGGAAGAAGTTTCTGAAACTATTTTTGTGGCGCAGCGAGCTCCAAACAAAATCCATGTAATGTGTCCTTTCGTCAGCCATCGGTACAATTTATATAGAGGAGACGTGTCAAGAAAAAGAGTTAATGTCATAAGCATGGGTATTGTCAAAAACATCAGTTTTAATTTATTAAACAAATATATATAACAATATTGTTGCCAGTAGGCTGTTGAATTCTTTCATTTTGATAAAACGTATATCTTTCACACCGTTACATGTATCAGAATGACACTACAGCTGTAAAGATGCAAATTAAGCGACGATACAATAGACGGTTGCTTTGGTTCATCTTTGTGACGTACACCAAGTCGTTTAGTTAAATCCATAACTGATATAATTTTAGTTCGTATATCTTTCTGATTAACAGAAGAATACGGTAGAAACGTTTTGAATAGTCAATTATAAAATGGAGCGCATCCTTGTTGTTATCATGACGACATTATTTAAGTGCGCAAAAAAAGTTCTTTTCGCTCTTTTTCATTTTATGTCTTTATTTGGCAAAAATGCAATCCAATATTACATGCCATAGTCCTAAACTATTAAATATTAAGGAAAAGACATTTAAATACCGTCTGTGGTGTATATCATGTATACCCCTCAGGCTTTTTCATGAAGTTCACAAGGACTAGCTAGGTCAGGGACGGCTGTGAAACGTCAGCGTCTCTTATATTGAGTTATGCATATACACTGAGAACATAATAGACACATAATCATTAAATGTAATACATTGGAATGCAGGAGGCCTAAAACCCGAAATTCCGGAATCCAACGTCCCTCGGATGCATTACGTGTTTCACCAATCGACAGGACGTCATTGACCAGATTCACACACTAAATATTTCTAATAAACCTACAGGCTCTGACACGATGCACCTTATCATTGGATGGAGCACACCAAGATTGTTTGAAGGGACTCAAGAGTCTGTTTTCTTTGATTTTTTATTTGTGATCAAACACGAGATTTCATTGGTCGTAATAGTTTGCGACTGTATAATCACGTTTTCACTTGCGTATAAGGCCCAGATGGTGAGTGTTTCAATTGACACCAATGACCCCAACTGACCCCGACAAATCATGAAATTGCTGACTAATAAATCCATGTTAATGACGTCACCATTCCACCTCAGAGTAGGTATATATTTATAGATATAACGGATAGGTTAACCTGTAACACATATTGCCTGGAGGGACGTGATCACCGGACCCTGCACACCTGACCAGCACAGGTGTAGTATTTCTCACTTTACCTGTCACCGTTATCTGAGGACATCGTCCCCATCACCGCGTGGCGGTTATGGTCTCGTTAACGGGGAAACGTCAAAATGGTAAGTTTTGGGGATACACAGGGAGGGTTAGACTGGCCACCGTCTCTAGAATATTGAACAATCAAGAAAACAACTTTAACTCTAAAAAAAACATGATCACTTGGATGTCTCATTCTAGAATAGAAAAGATATTTCGACCCACGTGCGACATGTGTGTGAAAGTGACGATTTGTTTTTAAAATATCAGTTTAATATGGTGACTCATTTGTGCCATTTCGTTATTTCGCCCAAGGGGTGTATAGTTTTGTATTGAAACTTTGTATAGCCTTTTCGAGGCGAAAAGACGAGATGACGACAATTTAGATACAAATATAATGTCGCTATTTTGCCCCGAAATAACGAGATTTTAAATTATAGAATGTCGTTGTTTCGTTATTTCGCGGCGAAATAACGACATTATATTTGTATCTAAATTGTCGTCGTCTCGTCTTTTCGCCTCAAAAAGGCTATACAAAGTTTCAATACAAAACTATACACCCCTTGGGATAACCCTGTGATGTATTACGCCTCAGGACTATGGCTATTACATAGGCAGTCGCAATAGTGCCGAAAACTGCATGATATTTTTCTTATGATTCAGCAAGTAGTCTGGAAGATAAACTTGACAGTTATAACTTATGTTGATTATTGTATGAACATATATATATATATAAATATATATTGCCACCCTTTCTGTCTCTTACATACGCTCTTCTGATTCAGTATAACCTATATAGGCGACATGTGACGCAATAAGTATGTAGGTTTCTTTTATTTACCATGTTTTTATGTCTCTCATTGCGATATGTACATTTTCTATGTTAATGCTATTCCAATCAATGGTTTCAATTTTCAATTTTGTTTGAAACATTATCTTTTTAACCATTGTTTGGATAATGCACATGGTTATTGATATAGCGTTTCTACCACGCTTATTGTAGTGATTCTTCTTCTGTTATTCTTTAAAATCTTTTAATTTTCATTTCGATTGCGTTGACACAGTACTTCTGCTTTTCGTGTTTAGGGTAGGCAATCTTGTGCCCATCTTCCTATATCAATCCAGTTTTTAATCATGAAACCCAGTCTCATTGAAACTTTATTAATTCCAACAAAATCAATGTTTTGTTCCAGTTTTTTGGAGAATAATGAATATCAATTTTTTATAAGGAGAAGATTAACAAAATTCAAATTTTTAACTTTTTGTTTCCCTTTTTGGAGTCAAGAGAATGTTTCGATTCATCTATATAACAAACTTTCAAGTGTGATACCAAATTAGGTATGAATGAGGAATTTACGATGGCCGATAACAGCCGACACGAAACAACTACATTATAAGACATTTATGTACATGTACACTATTTAAAAACTGTACATGTACACAAAACAACAACAATATAAGACATTTCTGTACATGTACACTATTTAAAAACTGTACATGTACACAAAATAACAACAATATAAGACATTTATATACATGAATATTAATTAAAAACTGTACATGTACCCAAAACAACTACAATATAAGACATTTATGTACATGTACACTATTTAAAAACTATACATGTACACAAAACAACAACAATATAAGACATTTATATACATGAATATTAATTAAAAACTGTACATGTACACAAAACAACTACGATATAAGACATGTATGTACATGAACACTATCTAAAAACTGTACATGTAAACAATACAACTACAAGTGCTATTTACATTCCTTAACGGTTCGTGTCAACTTGATATTTCACACGTGCCTGATACGGCGGTTAATAAACGACAAGGAAATAACTAAATTTCCCAGCAAAAAAACAGTGTACATGCATATACATATCTTATATTGTAGTTGTTTTGTGTCGGCTGCTTTCGGCCATCGTAGGAATGAAATGCATAGCAAATTCAACAATACGTTGTATCATAGTTATTGCATCTGAAAAAATCGAAAAATAAATATCAATATCAATGTCAAAGCCAAACAAAGTAAAGATGTTGCTGCATTACATAGCCATTTCGTCAATTAAGGTTCATCAGTGGGACGCCAGGTCAACTTCAGATATATTTTTCCAAATCAAGTAGTTCTCCCCTACGATTTTTATATCATATGATACATATCAAATACAGCGGTCATAATACATATGTAGTCGTGTATGCTTTTGTATGATGTGCGCGTGTGTAAAACTAAACGCAGGCATACACACATAGGGAGATATTGGCCAGGTGGTAAAGGACTAGTAGTTAGCGCCTGATACAGACAGCTCCTGCGATTTCCTCCAAAACTATATTGATTTATGTACATGTATATGCTAATTGTATTGATTGTATTGGTTGTATATCTATGTACTGTAAAGCTCCTTACAGCTATTTGGCCTATTTTAACTACATGTAGATAGGGTGGTACATTTGTTTATCAAATGTTGTGTATTAGTATTGTATTTTTCATTATAAAAAAAATATATATGCTTTTTACGTGGAACACAATTTTTATGTTCAACATCGCTCATTAGATTAAACTAATGTTATTCGATTGATTGGTTGATGATGACGAATTAATTCATCACTATTGCAAAGGGCTTATTAATTTCATCCTGGAATTATGCTGAAATGATGATTAGGAAAACTAAAAAGACAAGAAGTCCTTCGGAAGCCTTCAGCATAATCATACGTGAACATAAACGTTTTGTAAAAATAAATCTCGTTTTCTAAAAACAAACTTTTTCAGTTTGGTATATTGATAGGTTAATATTGGACGCCTGCGTGACTGTTTCATGTAGAACATATCGCCTGCAGTATAAATAAAGCCTTACTGGCAAGGTGTTTTCCATTGTAATTTTAATAACGAAATACTCCAAATATGGTCGACAAAAGACTTTCTAGTACCAATACATTCTTCTTGATTTGTTTTGTCGTTTCCATGTGATGATGTAACACTAAATGGGGTAGTCCGAATTATTCTGACGTTTTATCGACTTTTTTCATATCGGTCTGTCGTCGATTAACGACGTTAATGGACGACAGACCGATATGAAAAAGTCGATAAAACGTCAGAATAATTCGGACTATAAATGGGGCTACCGGTTGGTTGGGTTGGGTGCATAGGGTTTAACGTCCTATAAACAGCAAAGATCATTTAAAGAGATGGGTTTGGTTTAGCACGTACATATTTCTATAATTTATGCAAAGACAAACCTTATTGCCCGAGCATTACATATTAAGATTGATCCCAACTTGGCTCTAATTGACACCTCATACAAAAATGTGCAAGAAATCGCTCTTTCATTTTGTAAATAACCTTGGCGCAGTTATAAGGCATCATATAGTCGACAATACTGACAAGACCAATGCTGAACCGTGCCAAGTCATCAAACTGCTCGGCTCGACCGATTCTAAGTTCACACTGTTAAAGGTTAAGCAACGAGGTCTAAAAAACTTATTTATCAAACATTATTTATAAAAAGCTGAAGGCCGGAACTAGTAAAGAAGTGATATCACAAAACGCCCGTTAACTTTTGACCGGAAACAACTGCCGGAAAAGTGTCACACAAACCCTAATATTCCTATAGGGGGAAAAGGCCCACTGCATTTGGTTCATAAGGTCAAGGAAAGAGTCCATGACAAGCGCTGACATCTTGTGGTTGCAGGGAAATATCTTAACTAGGCGCTGTCAAATGTAAACTCTGGATTTTTTTTTGTAAACTCAGCATTTTATAAAAACAATATTTCAACTATTTCGATTGTCTTATTATTTATACTCCCATCAATTTTTTCCTACGAATGAGTTAATCCCTTCTCAGGAATACAAATATCGTTAGTGAAATCTAGTTAGAGTGCTTTGGATACGTGTAACATATATACCTAATGCGTTACTATAACGATTAGCTTAAAAAGTTATTTCTGATATGAAACTGCTCTTACGTATCTATATTCTATATTCCTTCTTACACCGTGATCGTGATAAACATTTATTTAATTGACCTGTATATTACACTATTTACCAGACCGCTTAGTTTATATGTTAAAAAGACGTGTTTTTATACAAATAATGCTTATTAAAGTTACGTTATTATTATGTAAACAATGAATTCTATAGAGATTATAGCGGTAACGTCATATTCTATAAATTATTATAAATTAATGTCATAATAAAATTACTCGATTTTATAAGAAATATATGTTGCTGGTTTATTTTAAATATACCTACCAACGTTATCTGACAAACTGTAACAATATGCCAGAAATCTAGCAGTTGTAAGTCCAATATCAGATATACTTGCTAATTTCTCATGTGTTTTCAATTTTCTTTTCGTATCGTGTAAGGTTTCACTATTGTACAATTCAATTTATTACCAAATGCACATTGCATATAGGCGTACAGAAATATACATATAGATAAATACTTTACAAATAGCTTGTACAATGGCGGTGAACATATGCAATAGATTCAATTCCATACATAAGCATTACAAATTTATGAAATAGTCATAAGTTGGGGAAAAAAATAAGGTTTTCCTAAGGTAACTTAGCGGACTCTTGTGAAGCATAATTTAGTTGTTTATGATAAAGCCTTAATCTAACCAAATTTCTAGGAAATAACAAAACTTCAAAGTCAATCATACATCCTCAACATGAAGATAGAACGAGTACTATATATTATATAATGAAATGAGATTATACTCATTGTGAAGTAAAAGACATAGATCTCAATCGCATTATACAGTAACAAAACGTTTATTTCATGATATTTGACTTCTCTTAACAGTTGCTTGAATCAAGTACTTACTTAAATTTCTAATAAGTGTAAAAAAAATGCTAGCCAGTAGCTCTATTAATTTAAACACAGAAGGACGAATACGATAATATGGCTTGATATACGATACTCTTAATTCTAAAGAAACTCATCCTCGACATCTCCAAGATCACATAAAGTACACAATCTCTGGTTTCAAGGCACTGCATTATATCTACCTGTCTCTATATTAAGGTTATGTGCTTGCAATCTATATTTCGCAAGAATACATTTATTTTTTCTAAAAAGCGGTTTTGTAAAATACCATTGTATATCAAAACGGTCAACAATGTGTTTATACAACAAACATTTTGAAGATGTTTTGAATATGTTTCCCATTTCCTGAATAAAAGTATAAATTCTACGCTGTATATGCAAAGGGTAACGACCAAGTTCAAAATATACCATGGCATTATTTACTGTTTTCCTGACACCCAATAAGGTTTTCAAAAATAATAAATGTATATTTTCAATCTGCGGTGCAGGACTATAACCCCATACTTCACACCCGTAATTTACAATACATGATATATAAGTATCAAATAAAGATAACTTGGTCTTTTCATTCAACAAAAATATTTTCGCTTTCCGATTAAGAAGAAAATAAGCTTTCCTTCCTTGTACAGCAATGTTATTCAATGTAATGGTAAATTTACCATTATAATTAAAAACCAAACCTAAATAGCAAAATTGATCTACCACTTCTATAGCTTAACATCAAAAATCCACTGCTCGTTTGGATACAATCGTTTACTTTTCCTAAAACCAATTATTTTTGTTTTGTCTACATTTACAGATAAATTCCAACGTCGAGAATAAGTGATTAAAAAATCCAACATATTTTGGAGGTCAACAACATACCCAGAAAAAAACACCGTGTCATCGGCATACATGATTAAAAACAAATTAAGTAATTGCAAGTGATAACTTTGGTAATTTGACTTAATCAATTCGAATTCCATGTCGTTGACAAATAAAGAAAACATTATTGGAGATAAAGATTCTCCTTGTAATAATCCGACCTGTAAGTCGTACATAGGAGATAATTAACCATGAAACTTTCCACATGACTCTCGTATATAGATTAATTTCCACAATTTGCACCACAATTGATTAAGTGATATACTATCAAACGCTTTTCTATAGTCTACGAAAACAAAATAAAGCTTTTTATAACTCTGTAACGTTTTAGTAATCAAGGTATTAAGTACAAAAAATGTATCTCTGGTACCACTCCCGGGCTTAAAACCAAACTGAGCATATGTAATTACATTCTCGCTTTCGCTCCACTTTAACATTCGTTTAAGAGTGATGTAAATAACTTGGCCATATGACTTACTAACGTGATTCCCCTATAATCATTTACGTCGTTTTTATCACCTTTTTATGCAGAGGTATAACAACTCCTTCTGATCAAGCTTAAGGAAAGTGTCCTACCTGTAATATAGTATTAAACAATTGTTGGAAAACTGGTGCAATAACATCAATACACTCAATAAAATATTCATTAATGACATTGTCTAAACCGGCGGATTTACCTTTGGATGACCCTTTCATTGAAACTAAAAATTCATCAAGACTGAAATCGTCATCAAGCTTAGGGTAAATACATTCGTTATCAACTTCAACTTGCTCAACATTGACGGGAGAAAAGTCAACTGAATTGTTGGCAATATCTTTAAAATATTGGTAAAAATAATTTAAAACCAGATTTCTGAAATCACAAGTCTTACGTCTAGAAAAATTACTTTAAAGAAAATTTGGGATCATTTTTTCTCAAAATGTCTTACATATCGCCTTCATTCCAAAGAAAAGATCTCTTCACCCTCCCTTCGTAGGTCCTGTATTTCTTCTTTTCACAAACCAAGTTTTCTCTATTGCTAACAGTTCTACATATATTAAAAGATCTTAAAGCGTTTCTATATATTCTACGTAAACGTTTACATTCGTTATCAAACCATGGTTTGTCAGGTTCCTTGACATTACGTCTCGACTTCTGATGACAAGAACAATTACAAGTACGTATACGTTTCTCGAAGCAGCAAGACTTGTCAAAAATAGAGTGAACATTGTTAACCAGTACTTCCAAACATTTGTCAATACTGTCCGTAGTATTCTCTAAGGTATTCAATGAATTTGCAATTAATGCCCTGTTTGCATTCATAGAATCAGCAGTATTTACTCTTATTTCTTCTGTCCAGTACACAGACTTAGTAGTACTAAACATATTACTGAAGTCACAACAATTACAAATATGAGTGTCTGCTTTTAAGGTGAAAAACAATGGCGCGTGGTCAGAATATTCATTAAAATCACAAATATTACAATTTTGAACCTGGTCCAAATAATGGCCATGAGCCAGTACATAATCAATTGTACTTGTACCTAAGGCGTTATAAAACGTAAATTTACCTTCGATATCACCAGTCGTCCGACCATTTAATATTCGAAAACCAGTAGTCTTACACATTTGCAAAAGACGACGCCCAAATTGGTTAACAAAAACATCTTCAGAATTACGAACACTTTCACCAACTTCATCCTCATAGGGTATCACATTATCTATAACCTGATGTAAACTATCATGTAGAACATCAAATGGAATAAAGTCAGGCTCTCTACCAGTTCTACTTTTGAGATCACCAGTGATAAATACGTGACCCACACAGCTGAATTTGGCAATTCCAATTTCCAATACATCAAACATATTGACATCATAACTATCATACATAAAATGTTGCCCTTTCTCATACAACACCTTCCTTCTTTAGTTTACTGTATATGATGAGATGTTTTAATGACATTTTGTAGATCACCTTGGAACCATTACTGGAAAACCATGGAATACTCGGACAATCTGATAAAACATGTCTCGTGTGTTTTTACGCATTGCAAGAATGTGTTATATAGGGGGGAAACAGTAAGTCAAGAAATTGCTCGATAGTTTCAACCATATAATAAAACTTTACGATACTGCATTTTACCATTTTATCACAAACACTGCGGTTTTCTGTTCTTGTTCATCTTATCATGGAGTGTACATGTGCTGTGGTATTGAAGGGACTACTAATTTCCAGAAAATCAATATTAAATCTTGATAGATATTCCCCACAAAACCCGAACCTACCTTTCATTATAACTTCACTTACCAAAACGCTTTGATTCCATCTGGTCAATACGTAGGGAAATAGTCAAATGCAAAAACAAACAAAAAGTTGATCAAGTTAATAAACGATATACCTTCTTAATGCCTCCAAAAAATTTCAAACCTTTTCAAATTTTAAACTCTTTACGATTATTTTCGTAAGTATAGCCGGGCAGTAGTGATATTTTAACAACAGTCAGTATATAAAGTTATGACAGTTTCTGCTGTCTAGAGTTTTGTGCGAGTTACGCCCCCTTACATCCCTATTTGAGTAAACGTATTTTATTGTAATTTTGTCATGCTAGAGAAGAAAACTTTGCAACCTTGCCCAGATTATCATGTCCTGATTTTGAAATAAGTATAACATCTCTACTACACTAATAAATACATAATGAAACTAATAACGTGAGGCAATATGTATCTGATGCTGTCAGTAAGCGTATAAAATAACCTAAATACCGTACCGAATGAACTAAGATTCGTATCGTCTAAAAAAATACATTGTAGATAAACAAAATCCCTGAGAAAGAAAAACGACAAAATAAAACTTTACTATTTAAGTGAATGCATCACATGTATTTGTGAAGCTTTTAATACGATTTCAGTCACTGTCATTAATTCAGCGTCAGCACACTTCAAAGTTGTAGCGACATAAACCTTTCAGAATTGCTTACTGGCGAAATACTAACAGTATTTTGAACACAAATGATGTAACGCTAGGGAGTCAGTTTATTTCAAATAGCTGTAAAAACTCTGAATGACAGGTGTTTGGAGTACTACATATGTTTAGATAACGAAAAACATACATACCACAGTAATAGTTTGCATATCTGCAACGTTAACGTCCTGCGATATGTGTGGTATAACCTATTATCACATGGTAAGAAATAATTATTTATAAATAGAACTTGCCATATGATATAAATATAAATAAGAATAAAGGAAGTAAATCTTAACCTTTAGAAAAATAATCAAAAATGTACATCATGAAAACGAATCATTAAATATATATTTCATTATCTACATCATGAACAAAAAATATATAGTATATGATTGACGCATTGGATAAGTCAGAAAAGAAGTTAATGTAATATTTATCAGACCATTTGTCAATATAAATGACAAAACATATGTTCATAATAATTGCAAACAGCAACACCTTTTCATATTGAATTACCGTATAATTAATAAATGGTCTCCTGCTCTCAGTGTAAGACAGTGTTCAATATTCCAATCAATATTATTCCGAAACTGATATCTATTTTTGCGGATTAACATTTTTTTCATGGTTTTTTTATTATGATTTGTTTTTATTTAATTGGGGTTTTTTTGGGGGGGGGGGGGGGGTTCAGGAAAACAGAGTTCTTATTTAAAATTGTCTCTTTGTCTTTTTCAGCATGGCTGGCATTATTTTGTTTCGCTCTGTTAAGCTTCTGCTCATGTCAACAGCCAATTGTGTTTTCTTCTGGTCAAACCAATGCTTATTCTCCATATAATGCAAGAGCCACGCAATATTCTTTACATAACAGTAAACCCAATAATTGGAAACGATATGGCAGTATACCAACTAGAGGTAAATACTATGGAAGCACGCAAACTCAAAGCAAATACTATGGAAGCATGCAAACTCAAAGTAAATACTATGGAAACATGCAAACCCAAAGCAAATTCAAAAGAGGCAATTCTGTGAAGAAGTGGGGATCTTCATATTCTGCACAGAGTCAACAGCTAAATAACTATAAAGGATTTGTTAAACCGAAGGTGCTGTACAAGTCAGAAACTCTAAAGACAAAGCCATACTCCTATAGACTTAGATCCGTTGGCAGAACTTTAATCGACCAATATCGTAAGTAGTCTATCAGCTTCACAAGGAAATAAGGTATTCTGGCATTTATATAGATTCAACTTAAATCAAATTTTGCGTTTTTTTTTTTTTTTACAAGGTTTGTATTTTTTATCAAACAATGTTTATACTACGAATTATTTAACTTTCTATAGTAGAGATTTATAAATGAAATGAAAGATATCATAATAAGAATTACATTTACATTTTTAAATCGTTTCAAAGCTTATTCTTAAAATTATATTTTTTAAGAATATATGCGTGTGATCCTGCATTTCCTGCAAGATGCAGAATATCTTGATCAAAATGTTAGAACACCTTTCACACTCTCTCTCTCCGTGTCATATGGTTCATTGTTTGTTTTAGTTCAAAACTACATGCCCTGGGACACGTGCACGGCGATGGTGACAAACACCATCAATACATTGTTTAATCCAACGTCCGATTTTATGAACATCTTCATCAATGCTGGGGTTGACAACTGGTGCGGAAATAGTAAGTACTTTGTGTAGTTCAGAAGGCATTGGATCCACATTTTTATAAATACATATTAATAAATCTAAGTAATAAATCAATAAATTAAGTACATAGATAAATAAATAGTTTTTACAGATGTCTGTGAATATTTCCAAATATCTGTCATACCGAAATTATTTTATAATTGACACTTATGGTGTATCAAATCCATTTTTATATTTTGGTATCCATGATTAAAATATATTTACTGACACTTTCTTCATTTTATTTCAGAATTGTACGCTCTTCTCCAGCCAGTAATTTCCCCTTATACAGACAGGCTATTCGAGAACCTGGATCTTGCAAGGGATTAAAAGCGATTTTCATTTCTAACCGGAAATTATTAAACTTGACACTGGAAAATTAATGTGGTACATGTTCTCTATATATAACACATGCGTATTTACCATGGCTTTAATGGTATTTGAGCAACTGACCAGAAGTGTTACTTTTTCTTGACAACAAGTGAGATTAATAACAGTATCTATGCGTAATTTTGGAGTCATTTTTAGCCTGGCTCATTGTAAATCGATTTTAAATGGCAATTATTATTATATTTTGATATTATTCCCGACAAGTGATTGGCCAGGTGTGCATCACGTGTTCACCGATAAAAAAAACCGATATTGACTTGGAGCGCGTGATTTCTGTTGAAGGACTGTGTGTTTCTAAAAATAGAATTATGACGTGTCTCCAAACAATGCACCGTCCCACTTTCGAAGCATTTTTGTTGTGGAATTTTTCAGATTGCTTACATTACTGTTTTGTAAAATAATTAAACAATTGTAGCCTCTAACTTAGGTTAATACATCTTTTCTCGGGTTTATAAATCCAGGTATCGACCTCAGCCAAAGGCTATAATTGAGTTACGTCTTTATATTTAGCACTTTGAAGGGATTTGACATTTTCATTAGTTAATTTTGGACGTTTTAACTCCCTTTCGGTTTATGTGTGTGGCTGCTGGAGTGAGTTCTCCACGTCACGAATAAACATGACTCGAGGAATGAACTTAATGCATAAAATGGATAGGAGTACTATTGCAATGACTTTTCCTAAAGAAGGTGAATTAAAAAATCTTGATTTTCCTACAGAAACTGAATGAAGGGTCTGTGTTCCCCGACAGAGAAATAATGTAGGATCTTGGATTTTGTAATCAGAGTGAATGTATAAACGGGATGTAATATTTTGGTTTCGCTATATAAGTGAATGTAGGGTCTATATTTTCTACAGGAAAGGAAAGAAAAATCTTGATTTCTCTGCAGAAGCGGGATATAGGATCTGGGTTTCCTTATGAAAAGAAAATATAGGATGTTATTTTCCCAGCAGGAAGTGAATTTAATACAAGGAATACCTAAAGAAAATGAATGTAGGATCATGGTTTCCCAATAGAACCTGAAGGTTTGATCAGGATTTCGATATGGAATGCTTGCATGTGTTTCATGTGTACCTATTTTTCCATCGAAAAGTAAATGTGTATGATTGATGCGATTGTTTTCTATATAACGTAACTGTATGTGGCTGATTTGACGAAACAGTTCCCTACGTATATTGTATTTATATGGTTGTTGTGATGGGGGTTCACAAATTATATGAACATTTGTAGTTGTAGAGATTAGTTTTAGGTCATTCAGTGTACATTCGTGACTGTTTTGATAGAAGTCCCTAAAGTAAATAAGTAGGTGCCGACAAAATGAGTTTTCCTCTGGAACATTGAAGTCTTCTGTCCAACACAAATAATCCACAACACCTCAGATATCAGGATTCAATCTGTTGTATCCAAAAACAGAACAATGTATACAATGGTTTAACCTGTTTTACAGTGCGATTAATATAAACACTATTTCATTTGAGGATTAACACTAAAATAATCTTTACACGAAACAAATAGATTCAAAGATCTTACAGTATCATGATGACAATAATCGGAATTTGACAAATAACAGTACATATAGAAACACAACACAGAAAGAGCACAAAAGACATTGAACTATTTATTATCAATTATTTTTTAATCTTCCATAAAAAACGTGTAGAACAACTCAATAAAGTAAAGCGTCAGAGGAACTAGGAGATTATTTAATAAATCTGCAAATTTACAATCGCAATCACTTCTTATGGTGTTGTAGTGATGTATCTAATGTTAATTGTTAATATTAATCTAAATATAGGGATACTTTGTGCAAATTGTATGATTTTCGAGTTAAAAATAATTTATCACAAATATTATGAGTTTTGTAAATACGACGAATCAATTTACTAATAATACTGCTACTATGATAATGTAGTCACGTAAACATTAAACGGACATATCTTATTTCGTTACACTGTGGTATGTGATATCTGACATTATTCCAGTCTTTTTACATATAGTGTTTCCTAGAATACCATAATATCTTAATTGACGTTACTTTCTATAGCAAGAATAGTGCATGTGTTTGTAGATGCAACAAAACCCCACTTCTTCAAAAGAAGCTTTACACACGATTTATCTTCATGTATCTAAACGAACAAAAACATCTTATAGATATAGGTCATCGCACAAACACCGGACTTACCATCAATAAATAATGTCCAATAGAGCATATGCTGGAAAATGTTTTATGTTTTTGATATGCGTTGAATATCACAAGCTTACTTCAAATTATGCAATTTATACATCGAGTGATAGTAAGCAAAACAAGATATATACATATACTTCCTTCAATAATAAATATCAATATGAATATAATGTATCTTATAAAAAAAAAGACAAGAACTAAATAAAATAGCAACATTCATGGCAAATGTGAAACTACTGTGATATGATTTGATATTCCGACGGTATTTATTTGAAGTTTAACTTACGGATGGTATTAACCGGAATAAATGAGATTGGGTATGATGTTTATGTATTTGTTAATAAATAATTTGCTTATTGACACCGTTTTTTGTTTTGTTTTTCTGATTATTTATTTTTTAATCAAAAAGGTATGTCATTCAAGAACAACACGAAATCGACGACAGGCAGGGAGGACCATGATAACTTCGTTTCCTAATAGTCTGTGTTAGTATAGGTTACTGGTTAGTGCTGTTTAACCTTACAAGGGATTCTAATCATTTTGGTAATCGTTCACTATATTTGAGCGTCCATTATTTGCGGAAATCTGAATATTTAATTCATACCCTTTTTGGATCGGAAAGGATTACAAACTTTGATAAAATAATTGCAAGAAACTAAATGTCATGTCTTGGTCAGTTAAAATCTTTCACAGTTGGAATTCAAGCTATTATCCCGGGAAGATATCGAGGTTCAAACTCCGTCTATCCATGAGGCAATCGACAATCTGAGCAAGGAATGAAGACTGTTACGTGTAAAGTTGTCCATTACATATTCTTATCTGGTAATTTGATAAATTTTGGAAGACGAATGTCATCTGAATAATGACACATAAAATAACGGACAAAATAATATCTCACATTGCTTTATTTTTTTAAAGCAAAATGCTTCACTAACGATTTCAAACAGATTGAATGCGTTAAAGAACTTCATTATATTTAGTACCAAGGCGCTAGAGACATGGACGACCGAAAATAACGAATCTCACCTGATGACTAATTGAGGAGGAATATTGTTAACAAATGTCATAAGATATCACATCAGAAGAACACATCAAAGCCATATTCATATCCATTTTTGTCAATCAAATCAGTTCGAACATCACGGAAGCAGATGTCTTTTCCTGTTAGGCAGAAGTATCACTATCAACATATGTGGTAATCCTTTCTCCAGCTAGTAGAACTCAATGATACAACGATCCAAATGTTAGACACATATATTAGATAACCACACGCATATTTTTGAGATTTTTGAAGAATATATGCTTACACAGCAAAGGAAAAAACTAATTAACTGGGCATTAGACAATTAGTAAAATGAAAACAGATTCATCTTAGTTCATTAAAGAATATGGAATATGATGGATGTAGCATACAACCTTAGGTAGCAGTGTACAGTAACCACGTACGATGGCCATGGGTGATATTTTTATACAATGAATAACCCCTGTTATACAACATGTATCAAAATTTGAAAAAAAAAATCAGCACTAAAATTGGCACATACAGGATGAAGTGGACTATGTGGGCTTCATAATTTTTCAAGAAAAAAATCGAATTTGGTTTGAGACTACAGTTTTGGGCATTTACAAATCTGTGTCTTCACAACAAACGCTAGCTTTTCATGTAGTCTATTTTCGTACTCGGCACATGTGTAAATATTGTGAAAAATCCACCAGAATGACCTATGCTAAAATGTGAGTATTTCTGTTACCGAGTAGGCGATATTTATGTTCAGACGGGTTTTAAGGGAAAAAAATGTGCTTGCGGGTGTCAAATTTGGGTTAAAAATCATGAATATTTCCATATTTTGGTATTTTTGGATGTGGTAACCATGGTTTTCAGAAGTCCCAAATCTAGGGAAAACAGTTTTGGAAAAATACTTCTGTCCTCTAAACAAAATGAAATCAAAATGTAGTTTAAAAATATGTATATATATGTAGGTTGCAGGTTGAATTCACAATCCATGTTTATTTGAGACATGCCCTTTATTTTTAGGGTCAAGCCATTTCTACTGTACACTGCTACCTTATTTTAAACAATTAGACGATTATATAGTTTTAGATTTAGAAGTTGTATTGGATGTATTGTTTTCTTTTCAGTATTGGAAACCAACAATATAAAACAAAACTGTTTACCATAGAAAAATAGTTGTTTTATGTTTCGGAATGCACATACATTCCGTTGGTCACGAATTGCAAATACATGTATAAACATATCTTGCTAATGAGTTTGACATAGTAATGGATCTGGTACACGTTGAAATAACTTCTTCTAATACATACATCATGGTTTTATTTTATACATTTCAAAATATATCCCAGAATATATTATAGTGTTCATACTTTATTTTTTATGTCGATGTTGGACATCGTATGATGAATATACAGAAAAAATGTGCAAAAACTGAAGGATTAATATCAAACTCTATTTAAGCATTGAACTGTTTTTTTATGGTATTTATGATCTATTTGAATGACATAGCTTTGCAAGCAAACAACATAATGCGCGCTAGCGCATTATGATTTGTTTGCTTGCATAGCTGTGTCATTCAAAAAGATCATAAATACCATACAAAAACAGTTCAATACTTATATTTACGTTTTCTCTGCCTCTTATGTTCTTTTTTACCTCATAATTTATAATTAAAATTAAAAGTGCCCGCCTTATCGACAGTCCACACAATTTCGTTCAATAATTTGAACAGCGTATTGTCCCGTGCTGATTTGCAAACAAAGTAGTACTTTGACATTTTAACAAACACTTCAAAATTATTCCACAATTTAGTATCAATACAATTGCGTATGATAAGTCTATAGGGTGATTCCAGTTTTCAATAGAAATCTGAGCTAAAAGTTAGATTTGAAATTGTTTCGATTTTCCCCCGGAACAAATTTCGCGCATGGATAAATACAGTGAACACCGTGAATGTCAAAGACCTTGACCTCCACGAGGGAGTTATTTTTGGAAGCTAATTCGAACTTTTCTCTTTGCTCATTTTGTGAAGAATCCAGGCGTGAATGTATTTGTTGATTGTATGGGAACCCGACAACAGTCGGTAGATTCTATAACAGCATCGTTATTTGACATGTCGTCTGAAACTGAGGAACCGTGGATCCGAGACGCGTGAAACTGATAGCGTTTGAAGTGAGTGATCTTGCGACGGAGCACAGGTTCGTTACAAATGTCTGAAATGACGAATGTTTATGTGTGCTGTGACTCATATCAGTAGGTCTGTAACATATGTGTCAGTAGGTCTATAGAATATGTGTATTTCAGACATTTATAACGAACCCCTGTTGATCAGTGCAGTGTAACAGACGATATTTCTGATAAATTGCATGAGCGTTAAAAAATTTTCCATTGCCAGCATTGGTGATTTCAACCGATGTGCATTTTGTAGGATATTGCAGACTTTGGTCTTGTTTTCGTTGTAATAAAAGTGTTTTTTTATTTTATTTTTTATTTTGCACATATATTTACAATGACATTATCAAATCTCACAATGCCCAGCGATATTTAAGCAGCCGTCATGTTTATTTACATTGGATATTGTAGTTCCGGTCAGTGTTGTAATTAATACGCTAAGAATTGTGTCTCGTGCGGTATGGTAATTATGTCTCGTGCGGCATGGTAATTAAAGTCCCATCAACGACACAGCTTTCAAAGAGGCTATATAGTGACAATGCCATGCAAATGTAAATATAATCAGTTAAGTTCCAAATAAAATCCATCCAACTGAATCGAATGTGCGTAGTACACATGTAACAAAACATTTAATGATTGTAATGAATTTAATGCTATAATATGAGAATTTAGCCTTTGGGTAAGTCCCTTTGGCCAGATAATCCTGTAATGAAGTGATGAAACTATGTAACATTAGTCGGTGATAGGCAAGCTTACAATGTATGAAGGAGGTGTGCTTCAGTGGTTAAAAATCGATGACCTTAATATTTCGCAGGAATAAAGTCCATGATTATAGGCCATCCTGATACAGTCTTTTCTATCAAGCAGTTATTTATTATCAATCAGTCTCCGACAGGAAATGAGAGTTTTAGCTAGAACAAATGTGAAATGTGGTACTTTGTTCAGGTGATAGAAGAACTGAAGCTCTGAGATTTAAAATATCTAAAGACTTTGTAAGAACTGCATGTGTTCCATTGGTAATAGGATTAACGTTACCCTAATTGTAAAAGGGGGCCATTAGTACTCTGTTCAAAATAACAATAAATATTTATATATTTTGATGAAAAACATAAATTTGGCCTTTTGTTTCTGTATTGTTATTTATAACTCCCGCTGTGGAAAGTGAGGGTATTAAGTTTTTTCCAATATCTCTCCGCCTGTACGTCTGTTGCACTCCTCTTTTACAAACCTACAAATCTACCCTTATTTTTCAATGCAAGGATTGCTTTTTCCTCAAGAGAAATTTAATTTCGTGATGATCTTACCATAGACTTTAATCTGAAAAACATTAACGTCAACTACGACCCTTAAAACCAAAAGGCATGAAATGTGCGACCCTTCTTTGTGATTATGTGTGTGTACCATTCGTTTCTTCGTTGTTTTCTGTTGTTGTTTTTTGTCGTGTTGTAAGAATGCGACACACACAGAGACGATAATTAGTGCACCTTAATTTCATTGCATCTCATTACAAGAAAATGTTAATTATAAAAAGAAATAGAAATTAAGGCGACGAAACGATGATGATATTGTTGTTTTCGAATCGTTCATTGCCTTCGGATACACAAAAGCGATGAGTCTATCATTACAAACACCGGTGACTAGATCAACGATGTTCAACGTTACTGACCTTTAATTGGAGGTCAAACTGTCATGTACAGGTATATATAATTCACCAATCCGGAACAGACGCCAGTATGTACGTATAGTGTTGCATGTGGTTGAAGATATCAACGAGGCGGAAGTGATGCTCATGTCTCTTATCAGAGACGTCAGACCTTGTGTGTATATTATAGTGGAATGCATTCAAAACATTCCGAACAGTTCAAATTATACGACACAATTATTGGTCTGCGTCTGATAAACTTTCAGGATTTAACTCTTACCAAATGTTTCATCAAAAATTGATTTACCAAACAAAGATCATGGTATTATTTGCTTCGTACATAACATCAAACCATATCAGTTGATTAATACATTCATTTTTCTCAAAATGTAAAAAGCTACAATAAAAAGCATTAAACAACAAACATGATATTATATAGCTGTACTTAAGTAAATAATAATGAAATAATAAAAAGTTCTACTGAAGAAGTGACCTTTCTTATATACATTACAACTTACATTATATGTCAGGAGCGAAAGTATCTGCAACGTGAAGTTAACATCATTGACATTCCTTCATACATTCATTTGATAATATTTGACATTTAGACCGTTGGTCAGACATTTTCTTTATGATAAATATACTCTATATAATTTTAATACTACATATTTGAACAAGCTACAGACTAATCATAACACTGGTATATGACAACTGGCAACCTTCAGGTAATAAAAATGATAGTTCATTTTTCGTATTATATTGCTTAATTACACACAGTGCTGGAAGGGAAACGCTGACTCAATGAATTCCCTGAGAGATTTCGTTGACATTTAAAAGTCAATGCTTATTGGATATTTAAAACATGAAATGCTTGTGTGTATTTCCGTTCGTAGCTTGATGCCATTAAGATTGTTTCATGGTACAGCTTTTGTTGATACTCCATAGTAACCACAAGTAGTCAGGTATGTCAATAACATTCATTGTATTTATTTTCGTTGTTCCATAGCTATAAAGACATAGCAACAAAAATAACCGCAAATGTTTTACACAACAAACGTTTCATGTTATACTGTATATAAACCTAAACAAATCATTGGCAATGTGGCAATCCTGCTGAACATAATTGGGTTAACATCGATCATTTCACGCAAGACGTGATAGTAGATTTTACAAGTGCCGTATTTACATTCTCAATAAATAAATGTTGCTACAATGTTGTAAATGTTTAGAATCATTACAGGACATCTGTACAGATCGTTGAGATCATTTGTATGTATTACATCGCAAACAAGTACCCCGGGTTAAAAAAAATACAAAAGTCTCGTTCAGGACAATCCAACATCGCAATCTTTTACTTAGTTTAAATAGCACTTGAATGTTTTGCTGATAATAAATAATCCTTTACGTAATTGTTCAAACATAATGAACGGTAATTGAAGTTGACATGACACGTCGTCTTGCCAGTAAATACAGGCAAATAAAATGGCCGCCGGCGACGACTTTGAACAGGTAGCGTTAATTATCGTTTTTCTTTTCCAAAGTTCTTCTTTTAATTCATCTAATGTCCAGGAACCGTACTTTGAAGACATAGCGTGCAATGATTGATGATAATTTTGGTCGTGACAACTTGAATACAGTATCTGAGTAATCATGCGGGGATGAACTTAAGATGACGGATGTGTGAAGAGGGACCGTCCTTTTCCGTGGCGGCATCTAGCCGAACAGGGGAAGATAACTGACCACGATTTGCCATTAAGTGACCTGCTTGATAAAACAAAATAATACGCACCTTGATGTAACATATCGTATTTTTATCTTAGTAGTCAAGCACTTTACAAGTAATGAATACCAAAAGCGTGCTTATTAAGAGTTGATTTCCGTATTACGACAGCCTAGATTTCATGAAGTTCGAGAGTTAGATATATCATTCGAGTCATGTTTTGATTATGATCAACTTGTTCCAATGACTTCATCCGGTACGTGATAATGAACAGCTGTATTTATTCAGATTGTCAACGAGGCAAAGCGATTTCCGTATGAGTCAGTAATTGAATAACATCAACAAGGCAAAGCGATTACCGTATGAGTCAGTCATTGAATAACATCAACAAGGCAAAGCGATTACCGTAAGAATCATTGAATAACATCAACAAGGCAAAACGATTACCGTATGAGTCAGTCATTGAATAACATCAACAAGGCAAAGCGATTACCGTATGAGTCATTGAATAACATCAAAAAGGCAAAACGATTACCGTATGAGTCATTGAATAACATCAACAAGGCAAAACGCCTTGTAGCCATCTTTAGACGAATGCCTTTCACGTCTTAATTTCCACATTATGACTTCGGGCTATTTCTTTTAAAATAATTGTATAGTATCTTATTTATACTAGTCATTCACTTAACCATTCTTACACCTTATACAAATGTGTTGCCTGCAGTATTTGTAATGATATTGTATAAAGAGAGCATGAATGTCTGGTGCGCCATTGCAAGATTATACCAAAAAGGAAAGACATCAGCAATTAGACGTAAACAACGTATATGTTAATATACCGATAAAATACTGATTCAAAAACATTAAATCACAACATAGTCTTTAACTCGCGCAAACTTGTGTAAAAATGTATTTTGGATTTATTTTTGTAACAAACTAAAATGAATAAATATTTAAATACGAAAAAATGATTACATAATTAAATATAAACATAGTAATTCATATGCAAAGTGTTAAAAGGTTTACCTTACAGATAAGGACTATTGCATACATGCTCCTCAATCTTCCCGAATATACACATATGTATATGCACCCGATATCTAAATAATAATACAGGTAAACGTATGACTAATTCGGGTCACCAATTTAGGGTATGATATACATCCATCCAATCAAAAATGGATCAGTTATAAACATAGCCTTGTGACGATGTATTCGGAGTTCTGACGAATACCAGATTCGGACTGATGCGGTTTTCCTGGTATTCATGCGTCACGATTGTATAAGTTGAAATGATGACCAATTTTTATATCGGGGGTGTTCTGAGGATTTGGTCACGCTTCCGCGTATATCAGTATATATACAATCTACAATCACATTTAAACCCATTGATATGAAGACAGACACTGGTGTGAATCTAACGAATTAACAGCTTTTTTACCATGTAAGTATCATCCATCTTCAAACGGCCATTGGGATATTTTCAAAACATTCACGGTTCCATATATAAATGGCATTATTTACGCATCACTTATACATGTACCATATCTGGCCATAATGTTTCCTTAGTATATAATAACTATTACTATTTTCGCATCGATATATAATAGATGGTTTTACTTTTGGCTTTAGTATGGAATTTTTGGTATAAAATTATTGGTATCATTTTTGCAACACTGTAACCTGAAAGGTTCGATTTTTTTTATCATTTTAATCTAAATGGATTCATTTTTGCGTCATTCTTTATTAAATGGCCCAATTTTCGAATTAAATTATAATTTGTTAACACGATTGAATGCTTACTAACTCCATGTTTTCAGCAATCAGTTTTCTTTTATAGAAATACTTTCTTTTTGTTTCTAGCACAATGGAGAAGTTTCTGTCGCTTGCTCATGTAGTCAGATGCTTTCTGTGTGCAGTTTGTGTGTCAGCTGTATACACGTCTGGTCAAGTTGCCAATCAGCAAAGTGGTTACTATAACAACAATCTTAATTTAAATAATAACCAAAATTTAAATAACAATCCTAATTCATACAACAATCCAAATGCATACAGCAGTTCAAATTCGTACAATAATCCGAATTCATACAATAATCCTAATTCATACAGCAATTCAAATGCATACAATAATCCAAATTCAAACAACAATCCAAATTCATACAACAACCCAAATTCATACAACAATCAAAATACATACAATGGAATGGCTTACAATCCTAACTATTACGGAAATAGTTATAACCCAAACAGTTTTTACGGTGCTGGTTATTTACCGAACAGCTACAACTGGAACAATTATTATGGAAATCCGTACGGAGGAGTTCAATTCCCAACTTATCAACAAAGTCAATATGGTTATGCGTTGCCTTGGAACGGTAACCAAGGATACGGTCACCAAGGGAACCATGGGAAGGCTAGACCCCATATGGCTGTCGTACCAAACATGTACAGTTTCCCTGTGTTCGGATTCAGATACCATGGTGTTCCATACGGGGGGTCCAGTTACCAACGTTACTGGCTGACACATCCAATACACACACAGTATGGCTACAACAATCCCCGGACTCCATTTTACTATGGAAATCAACAGGGAGGACTGCTCGGCAACTGGTGTACGTATAATGTGTTACTGATTGATTGATTGCTTGATTGATTGCTTGATTGATTGCTTGATTGATTAATTGATTAATTGATTGCTTCATTGATTGATTGATTGATTGATTGACTGATCATCCATTTATTTCATTTTTTCTCATGTTAAGAATGTTAAGCAAGGTATGTTCTATATTTATCCGTGAATTTTATATAAATTGCTGGCGATGATAAATTTTAAAATATGCTCTCGATTATGTCTTTGAGACAAATGAGATACTATTAAGGTGAATAATGCATATAAATTAATATAAATATAAAATACAAATATTTAGTTTATAATTTACACATTTTACATATGAAAGTTCATATCAAGAATCACCATTAGCAATATATTTTTATAATCTAAATAATGACTAGCTAATCAGTCTTTTTCATCACCTATCACAAAACCTTATCTTTTCTGAATTATGACTTTACCTGTATCGTTACAGATGATAATGCATTGGTCATTATAATTTACATCTATATATTCTAAATCATCAAATATCCCAATATATTATCTATTGTAAACATTGACTATATAGTTTGTTTGCTTTTCAGGGCCACTTCTCTTCCTTATACCGCTGCTACTACTAAACTGAGGGACGTGGCATCATCTAAAAGTGGATCAGACGACGATGATGTGAAAACTGACACCAATATATGTTGAAGTCGATTTTAAAAACGCAAATGCTAAAGAATTGTTAAATATGTGTTGTGAAGTTATCTATCGGTATTTTGTATATTTTGTATTTTGTTATTCATTAGAAGAAAATAAAGTAATTAAAATAAATGGAAATGATTTCGTGTTATGCAATTATTTCGAAACCCTCAGAATACTTGATAAGATAGCAGTTAATGCAAACATTCTTTTGATTATAACTGATATAATTGAATAAAAATACTACAAAGCCCTAATTTGAACGTCGAAATTCATAAAAGTAGGGCAACATATGAACAAAGGAAAGGTATAAAAGGAGCCCTTAAAATTGTACACTACAACAGGAACCATTAAGACGAGGTGATCGTTAACTTAATCGTGTTCTAGATCAGTTATCGATGACATCTGCAAATTGGTAAGAACCTAGTACAATGTAACGCCACATCCTCCTAGCGAGAAGAAAAGCACTAAAGCTGGACAAGTGGTTGTGTCTATCCAAGTGGTATAGTCTAACGACATGCATTGTCCTTCACATTGACAAATCCGATCACCATGCGGTTTTCTTTAACTTTGACACAGCTTAACAGCATGTTCTGTCCTTCACATCAACACAGCTTACATGCAACAACAACACATTCCCTTCACATTGACAAAATAAATAACCATAACACAGCTTATAACCTGTTAAGTCCTTCACATTATCAATACCAATCACCGTGTGGCTCTTTCTTCCTCACTGACACCGCTTATAACCTGTTATACCCTTCACATTATCAATACCAATCACCTTGTTGCTTTCTTTCACATTGACACAGATTATAACATGTTATATCCTTGACATTGTCAATACCAATCACCTTGTGGCTTTTTGTCACAGTGACACAGCTTATAACATGTTATGTCCTTCACATTATCAATCACAATCACCTTGTGGCTTTCTCTCACATTGACACAACTTATAACCTGTAATGTCTTTCACATTATCAGTACCAAACACCTTGTGGCCTTTTTCGCATTGACACAGCTCTATTGACCTCGGCGAAGCCGATGTTAATATCACCAAAAAGCCACAAGGTGATTTGTATTGACAATGGGAAGGATATTATACAATTATGGACTTTTGTGCTGGTAAATAAGATGTGATAAGAACCGGAAAAGGTGATATTAACCTCGGCTTCGCCGATGTCAATGTCACTTTTTGCAGGTTCATATCTTTTGTGGCTTTCTTTTACATTGAAACAGATTATAACATGTTATATCCTTCACATTATCAATACCAATCACCTTGTGGCTTTCTTTCACATTGACACAGCTTATAACCTGTTATGTCCTTCACAATGACACTACCTTAAAGTGTACAACAGGTAGTGTCCTTCATATTGACACGGCATAGTTTGTAGTTCACCTTAATTTCAAAAATGCCTCACGTTGTAGAGTCTAGAAAGAGGAATGTTTGTGTCACGATGTTTATTGACATGTTTTTGTGAATAATGTAATAATGAATCTTGTTATCGGGGATGGCAACACTTAAAAGGATATAATACACGTTAGAGAGATTTTATCTTAATCTAACTGATAATCTATCATATTTTTAAATATTTTTTCATCATTTATCACAAACAACAGATTAACGGTATTAGCTGGTATGTGATGCAGATCGGATACAGCCGGATATATATGGCCTCTCTCACAAGACAACCAGTAGCGTTAATTTGATATGTTAAACTATGCAATTGCAACGTCATTCTGTTCGTGGTTATACTATTGACTACTGTCGTTTCACATTACACAAACACCGCTATTGAATAACAAAATCATAAAATAAACGGTAATTCAAATGAACCATTCGGAACACCTCCTGATTGTGATGGGCTTACAAATAGAAGAATACTTGATGATGTGCATATTTTTATTGGAAAATCCCGTCGTTTTAATTTTTATATGACTTAAAGCCATGCTGTTAATCAAAAATATACTATATATTCTATATTGCATCCAGGAGATTCTAGTTGAGCATGACTACTGTCTATTACGTCTACTTATCTTGAAATTGTAAATAATTACACTCTATATGTTTTAAATGAATTTATTATTTTTAATAGCGACAGTTGTTGGTAGCCGTGACCTGTGCAATATATGCACATAGACTTTTGGTCTAAGCCTGCCAATATCTGTCTATGGTAGTGTATATATATGCTGAAATAAATGTATTTGTACATTTACTTGTATGTGTGTGTAAGTGTGTATGAGGTGTGTGAGGTTTCTTTCATGAGTTACTTCCCCTTAGCCTTGTGTTTATATGAATTATTTTGTGTTATTTTTTTCATTTGCAACATGTCTAAAATATTATGTCTCCTTGTTTATTCCACTTTGGCCATTTGACGGAGAGAATTTATATAGGCTTTGCCTGTTATTCAATCCAATTGATTACGACATCTTGTTAATAAAATTTGATGAAATGAAAAATGAAACACCTCGGTCGATTCGGTCATCTTTGATGAAAGAAAATGTAATCGGAGAGAGGTGATCCGAATGACATTTGTACGTCATGCGTAAATTCAACATGTGTGAAGGTGTGTAGGTAGGTATGTAATCAACTGACATTTGATACGCGAAAAGCAAATAAATTCTGCTATCAAATATCGTCATCAACACCCGGTTTACCATTACCGATTACCATAGCTCGACAGAACCACATTTCAGACGTAAACAGTTTACTTCTCCGCAAGTTAGCCTTACCTGGACTGGCGCAAATCAACGGAATGCATGTTTGTGCAGCAGGTCTTTTGCTTAAGAAGCTGATCATCAAGACAAATCGAAAACTGGGTTGTTGAAATGATCGATAGACGTCTCATTGCGGATGCTTCAATCTCATTGCTTGATCTAGAGATATTTCAACAACTGTCACATCATACTAGGATCATTAATACGGCAACACATTTAAGGTGAGCGTTTTGTGTTACAATTTGAATGTAGTACAGTTGAACGGATTTCATATTTTGATTTATCAATGTCATAAAGCTATTTACTATTTCAACTAGTCTAGAATGTTGCAAAGGACAGATTTAGGTCCATCAAGTCAGTCGTTATTTAGGTATGTTGGATACGGAAACTCAAACCAAGTATGTAGAATTTGGGCAAAACTGTGATTCTGAGTCCGAATTCTACACCGACATTCCTGCATAATCATTGACACGTTTTCTCTTATACTTCCGAGAAAAACGGCAATGGCATTGCAAATATATGGAAAAAAATGTATATCAAGCGGGTTGACCATGAATGTAAAAGAAAACAAGTCAATATATGGTATACCACAAGTATACTTTAAAAATTGCGATCGGCTTGGAAAAGCTTCACAGCAATATAAAAAAGTGTATTTCCGGTTAACATGACGTAATTTAGATATCTAGATGTTAACATCGTTTCAATATGAAATGTATATAAAATACAAAAGACTACAGAAACGATATTGTGGAGTTAAAATGATCATCAATATCTTCATTTGATTTTTCCTATCTTAGTAAGCTTACGACTGAGTTAAGCATTGATTAGCGCGCATTATGTTGTTTGCTTGCAAAGCTGTGTCATTCAAATAGATCATAAATATCATACAAAAACAGTTCAATACTTATATTTACGTTTTCACTGCTTCTTATGTTCTTTTTTAACTTATAATTTATAATTAAAATTAAAAATGCCCGCCTTATCGACAGTCCACACAATTTCGTTCAATAGTTTGAACAGCGTATTGTCGCGTGCTGATTGGCAAACAAAGTAGTACTTTGACTTTTTCACAAACACTTCAAATTTATTCCACAATTTAGTATCAATACAATTGCGTATGATATGTCTATAGGGTGATTCCAGTTTTTCAATAGAAATCTGAGCTGAAACTGAGGAACCGTGGATCCGAGACGCGTGAAACTGATAGCGTTTGAAGTGAGTGATCTAGCGACGGAGCACAGGTTCGTTACAAATGTCTGAAATGACGAATGTTTATGTGTGCTGTGACTCATCAGTAGGTCTGTAACATATGTGTCAGTAGATCTATAGAATATGTGTATTTCAGACATTTATAACGAACCGCTGTTGATCAGTGCAGTGTTACAGACGATATTTCTGATAAATTGCAGGAGCGTTAAAATTGTTTCCATTGCCGGCATTAGTGTTTTCAACCGATGTGCATTTTGTAGGATATTGCAGACCTTGGTCTTGTTTTCGTTGTAATAAACGTGTTTTTTATTTTGTTTTTTATTTTGCACATTAAGTTACAGCGATATTTCAGCAGCCGTCATGTTTATTTACATTGGATATTGTAGTTCCGGTCAGTTTTGTAATTAATACGCTAAGAATTGTGTCTCGTGCGGCATGGTAATTATGTCTCGGGCGGCATGGTAATTAAAGTCCCATCAACGACACAGCTCTCAAAGAGGCTATATAGTGACAATGCCATGCAAATGTAAATATTATGGTATGAACCCTATACCGATTGAAATGCCTTTAGCAGGATTATCGAAATGCTTTCATGACATCATTTAACGCGATTTTTATCTTACAGAATTGCGCTTCATTGGTGTATGTCTAAGTTGCTCTTAACATGTCAACTTTACGAAACCTGATCATAGGATAAATTGTAGTGGTGAAGAAGGAAAGCTGTGCAGATCGGTTATGTACAGACTCTTAATGTATTAAGCAAAGTTAATGATTTCGTATTTAATCTTTGCACTATTTGAAGATCAGTTTGTTCTTTTGTACCAGTAAACATCAATAGTAATCCACAGAATGAAAACTTTATTTTCTATTTTTTGTTCATTTCAAAGTATACAGATAAAATGTTACTTCATTTTAAAAAGATGCTTGGGTCGGTGTTTTAGCGCTCTACTATTATCCCATCACGCTTCGCTTAAATTTGTATGCATATGCTACTCAAATAAATAATTCAACCCTTTTCTGCCGGTATCTGGTGAGATATACTTACAAAATTAATATCTAAGTTTTGCTTTCTCCCCTAACAATGTACGTAGTAAACGTGTCGCAACGTTTCAAGAACAGACTGATCCCTTTGTCAAGCTATGACTGAGTGAGCGATTTAATGTTTTACCTGTACAACGATGTGACACAATTGTATATAGTTTATGTCACTCGACCCGGAAAGTTTCGCCTCCAGATAGGGAGCATTTACACACTGCACCGGATAGGTTACAGGTATGATGTAGATCTAGCCCCATCACCTTCGAACAGTTACAACCCATAGACAAGACTTACATTTTCGACAAAACAGGAGATTTATATCAAATTCCTTGCTCAAATTCTCAGCAGTTACATATAGGAGAAACTGGAAATATATATAAATCACAAACACACTTACGCGTATTTTAACTAAATACGGCGACGGTCATATCGCACAACGATCTCTTTTGACTGCGTGGAATGAATGTTCAACCAACATGTACAACTCAATTCTTCCAGAAGGTATGTAACAAAAACACGCAAACCAAAACTATGTATTATATAGGGCTTTGCTTATGTTACAAAATCCTTACTTACCTAATTATATACATAACAAATATTGTTATTAAAGAGTATATATCATTTTACGAGGGCGAATCAGATATCCTTGATGCATGATTATCAAAATTACGACTAGTAAGTTATTTTTTAAATTATTTTTGTATAGGTAGCATTTTGACGCCAATTGAGTTATGAGCCATTGCATTTGATTGTGATACTAAAACGCACTTAACTCCGGCGATTGTGACGTCAACATGGGTTGTGTCGGAAGTCGAAATATGTCATTGACAGTTCAACAACAACAATCTTTGCAAATAGACAAGCAACTCGGGATGGAACGAAAAACTAAGAAGTTAAAATTTCTGCTGTTGGGTAAGTAGGTAAAGCAATCATAGAGTAATAGTGTGCATATCTACCGCCTTACCTTATAACCAAGGCGCAGTGATTAAACGTGATTGGAATTAATTTAAGCTCTAAGCTTGCTTTCCAATCACATGAGATAGCATGTTTGTTATAAATGTAACCATGCGTGGTTATTAAATAAGATACTGTTTAAACTGAACTAAAATTATGATAGAATATTAAATGATGATCTTAAATTGTTACCGTCACTTTAGTAGATAATTAAAGATTTAACGTTTTTGAAATATGATTTTGAAATAATTGACATCTTTTGACACGAAAGTGAGAAAACAGATAAATTGGTGCATTTTGTCGTTTATTGTGAATTCACTTTGTAATCAATTGTATAGATGATAAGAAAATATCCAATCAGCACAACCAATGAATCTATATGATAACGATGGTTTACTTAAACGTTTCGGGTAGGGAACTAGAAAAAGGCTGGCTTAGAATCCCAATGCAATTGTGATAGTGGCAAAACATACAATACCGTTATTAGTAAATATATTCAATGTACAACAAAACGACGTTAAAACAGCTAAAAAACGAAATACCCTAAATCTTGATAATTTGCCTGATTTGAAAGGAGGCCAATCGTGAAAATAAGCCTTCGATTCCTTGCAATGTAACATGATTTAATTATAAACCGTCTTTGAAAATAGGTCTCCTGAGAAATTATTATTTATTCTCAAGATGGATCCATGTGGACCTTAAAAGGCTTTACGTGTTTTCATCAATTCACATGATTCAATATTGCAACAATTTGATGAATGAAAATATCTTCAATTTCGTTAAAAAAAATTGCAGAACATTTTTTTTTCTATGCGATAGCTTCGAAAATTAAGATTGTCTTGAAAATAGAAAGGCTTTGTAAATAAAACTGGGGTTACAGCAGAATCGCATTAACTAATCAATTTAACAGCCTCATCACAGTACTGTACACTTTTAGGATGATAGACGGGGAAGTTTACTTTCAAGCTAGTCTAATCAGGATGTTCATCTAGATCAAGAATATGAATGTATCAATTGAGAGTGTGTGAGGGGGCTTACATTTCGCTGTTTATACTTATTCCCCCACAACCCGTTACCTACACAGTGATAAGAATGAAAGATTTGGCAGAAGAACACACCCGGTCTAACTGACCTGACCACCATGTTCTATGATAAAATGCTTACATAATTTTAATCCACTGTCAAAACGTTGCTTTGCACAGTGGTTTAAGTTCACTGGCATTTGTAACTAAAGTTGAGAAAGAAATATGTTATGAAAACATCGAATAAGTTTCAACACTGTAGAATGATTAACTGTTTATAAATTCTTTTAATTTTACCTTATACTGTATATCAAAACATATCATATTTTCATACAATTGAACTACAATGATAAAAATGATAAGTTTAAACCTTGTGTGATAATTGCAGGTTCTTCAGAGTCGGGCAAAACCACCCTTTTAAGACAAATGAGGTTAGTACGACCTGATTCTTTATCAAGTAACAAGGCATCGCAAACAATGCAAATCCCCTTCATACGTGGTTAAAGATTATATATAGAGGTTTTGCCTCTGATACTGAGTATGAAAACTCTTAAAACTTATAGATTCTACATCATGTTAACGTGGATTTTGTTATTCTATATCCGGGGAGGCCAATACTCGTCATCAAGCAACTGCGCGTCCTTCTCCACAATAGCCGGAAGAGAAGGGCACTTGTCAACATTTTAAAAGCATTATACAAGTTATTTTATTTTTATTTATTTAACAATAATTTTGTATCTCAATTGACAGGTTTTTATAGGCATTATAGACGAATGCGATTATCCATAAAAACTAATTTTGAAAATATGTCACATTTTCCATTGTACACGTAAGTTCCGTTATCACATTGCAGAATTTTGCACAAGAACGGTTTTTGTCTGTCAGAGCGGATGTACTTCAAGACGATCATCCTAGATAATCTTAAGGAGTACACCGAGGCTGTTCTGCAGAACATGTCTGTACTCGGTATTGCCTTCGAGGACGAGGCTTCTGAGGTAAATCCAGGGCATAGCCTTGCTAGGTTCAAGCAACCATACTTATGAGGTGAAGTTGTCGCCAAACTAAGATAACTTGTCTACGCTGTTTAATCCAGGAAATTGGCTAGCTAGGTTCAAACGACCATACTTATGACGGTAAATCATACTAGACGCAGGTAAATTTAAACGCCTATATATCCATGGTAAAGCCAATGAAATGGCTAACCATATGTTCAAGCGTCCATATTTCCAAAGTAAAGCCAGGACAAGAAAATTGATGTAGATCGACTCTAGAACACTGGTTAGCTAACCAACGATCACATTTCTTAGTGAAAGGTTAGCATGGTGCAGCTAGGTTAAGACGAATATGCTGTCTGAGAAATTTCGAATCCAGGACAGTTGTTGTGTAGATTCAGGCGACATAACGACTGTAGGAAAGCCATAATTTGGGCTAACAGATTCAGGCGACATTACGGCTGTAGGAAAGTCACAATTTGGGTTAACAGATTCAGAAGATCATGCCTATAGCATAGTCTTGTCAGTGGTTAGCTATATTGATACAACCATACGTTAAGGAATATCCATACCACTGCGAAAACAATAACTGTACGTTCGACACTGATTTTTCGGGCAATGCAGTACTTATAAGAAGAAAGAATGAATAAAGATGAAGCAAACACACCAACAACAGTGTTCTCGCTGTAAACGAATTGGCAGGTCTAGACAAGTATTCGATCACTAAACCTCAAATTGTTTTACTGTCGCTCTAACTCACTGAATTGTCCGGTCTACGGATATATCCTGGCCCGATTGCATTGCGGTTATATTCAAAACGAAATTCAGAACATTGTTACTGTGTATCCAAAAAATACACTGGAATTAATAAGTATTTTGCAGTGGTCACGAATCGTTGAATGCATATAACTTATTTCATGAAAGCGTGTCAGCCGATTTAATATTATTTAATGCTAACACTTTTATTACAGGCAAACATGTTTCTCACGAATGTCAAGACATCTGAAAACATAAACGATTTTCGAAAGCAGTTTAAGGGATTGTATGACTCAAATGAATTCAAGGAGTGCATGGAGAGGGGCCAAGAATACTGCCTCTGTAATGGGGCGCAGCAGTAAGTTTTAACTGTCATATTCACTAATATATTCATCAATTACTTGACAGTTATGACTGATTGCTTTTGATAAGCTAACATATTTTATGCTGGAATCTTGAAAAGATATATGGAAAAGAAATAAGAATGGGCGTTAGCTAATCTTTTGTTGTTATCATCCTACTTTCAGCCTTTTCAAGTCATTTGACAGGATATCCTCTCCTGATTACGTTCCGACAGACCAGGATATATTGTTCTCTCGGATTGTTACAACCGGTATCACGGAAATCAACTTTAACTTTAGAGGAAACAACCTATGGTATACACACTGATTTCACCTCTTTGTATTGTATATGATAAGTTACCTTGACCTTTAACCTAGATTTTATTATATTTCATGAAAAATTAAGCCAAATAAAGAAGGGAATTATTTAGTGATATAATTTAAAAACAAAAGAGCAATTAATGGTAAAAATGAAATTGCTATTGATTCAAAATGATAAAAACGTGTCTTAATTTTAATTGAAACATGGTAAGTTGTTAAAATGTAGTGTAACAATTTGTTTTTACTTATTAGTTCTTATTATCTTGCAAATCCGTCATGTAAATACCACCCTTTATTTGTTCATTTATGTGTATATATTAAGTGATTGTAAGCCTCTGTTTTCACAATGATAACTAATGCTATTATCCATATGTTGTAGCGCTTTAGAGTAATTTTACAAATTATATAGGGCGCTATATAAATATTGTATATTGTTATTATTATTATATTATTTGACTTTAAAACCTCATAACGTATTTGCTAGAAAAATCACTGTTAGAATAAAATTAACACTTGACACTTTTATAAATACGCACAATTCCAACAAATGCAGAGGATTTTAAGAAAATATCATCACAGTCAACTGGACAACACTCAAATAATACTCGGTACCATCATGATTTTAAATAAAATTATGATTTTACGATGCAAGTGAGAAAACAAGCTATTTCATTTGCATCGTCCGATTACTTTTAATCAAAGGCGTCACTGAATAAATTCAAACGGTTTCTCCGTTTGTATAGACTAATAAAAATAGCTAATTGCTACAGTGTTAGGGGTTCGGTTTTGGCGTTAGCTAGCATTAATTTGGCCCGCCTTTCACCAAGATGAATTGGGTTTCCATTCCCTGATCGAACGTGAAAAAGATATGGGATAATCTGTTTCACCATGTAGGTTCTCTCAGTGTATTCTTGTTTCCTCCCATATGACGATTTCCGTATGCTTCCATCCAGCCCAATAGAAATAATTAATATAAGTTAATATTGTTTGTTTTATAGTCGTTGTAAAATAGGCAATGCTAGATTTCTATATGGATTTTCAAATTGTTATGCGCTATTATAAATTTTGATACACTTACAAATATAAGGTTAAATGCTTTATTTACTCTTGCATATTTAGATGCGCTAACTGATATATGGTATATGCGCTAATTGTTGTCTGGTTAGAGTCGCTAACTGATAATGGTTAGATGAACTAACTGATATATGCTTGGAAGTTGTGTGATTATTAAACGGTTTAATCTAAAGCAAAATAAGGATATATACTTATCAGCTAGACATTTTACTATATGCTTGAGTATAGCTGTGTACTAAACAGTTTGGTGCCAAAACTCTTTTTCTCAGTATGGTTGATGTTGGTGGTCAGAGATCAGAGCGGAGGAAATGGATCCATGTCTTTGATAACGTTACAGCCGTCATCTTCACAACAGCGTTGAGTTTTTACGACCAAGCCATGGATGACCCTGCTAAAACGGTACTCCATTTTAGTTTATATACATATTATTTTATTGGAATGAATTGATATAATACGGGGGGGGGGGGGGGGGGTATTTATTTGTTCATTAACGGTTATTTGATCTTTTCCCAAAAAAAAAAAAGATTGTATGAAACACATTTGAGCTTAACACTGCTACATATGTTTGAGGCTATCGATTGGTCCGGTATCGTATCGGCCGATCCGTTTCAAGATCGCAAAGGGCTAACTAACATAAAGTTTCTGCAATATAGATTTATGACATGAGAAAGTGAAAATATCTTCCTAAAGTGAATAGCTCCTCATTCATTGCTAACAGGTGCATCATATATCTCTTCCGTTTTCCATAGCACGCCCTTCGACCAATATCAGGAATATGATACATACAGTATATGACAGAAGATGGTAAACAGGAAACCGCCAATGGCAAAACGGCCGGACTGCTACAGTACATTTTCATGTAAAGCATCACATGTGATAAGCATCCTTTAAGATACAAAAGACATGCAAGTTTAGTTGATGTAGGACAAGTAGTTACTAGGTTATTGACCTTAACAAATCTTCTTAACCATAATTAAGATGGGGCCCGACCTCAACCATACTGCTTAACCTGGTCAGTTAGCGACAAATATAGGTCAGAAGCTGCATCCGAAGAATCGCATGTGATAAGCACCATTTGATGCATAAGCCATGCAAGTTTAGTTGATGTACAACAAGAAGTTACTTAGTAACTGACATTAACCAATCTTCTTAACCTGGTCAGTCAAGCGGAAAATGAAAGTCAGAACCAGCATCAGAAGCATCGCATCTGATAAGCATCCTTGGATACATAAACCATGCAAGTGTAGTTTGAGATACAATAAGTAGTTACTAGGTAACTGACCTATCCGAATCTTCATAACCATAATTCAGATGGGGCCCGACCTCAACCATACTGCTTAACCTGGTCTTTTAAGCGCAAAATGTATGTCAGAAGCAGCATCCGAAGCTTTTTGTTTGTTTGTTTGTTTGATTTTGTTTAACGTCCTATTAACAGCTAAGGTCATTTAAGGACGGCCTACCCTGTGTGCAAGATGCATGCGTGTAGTGTATGTGCGTGTATTTTGGGAGGCTGCGATATGTTCGTGTTTGTCTTCTTGTAATAGCGCGGAACTGATGCCGACTTTATAGTGCTACCTCACTGAAACATACTGCCGAAGACACCCAGCAGGACGCCCCACTCGGTCACATTATACTGACAACGGGCGAACCAGTCGTCCCACTCCTTATTTGCTGAGCGTTAAGCAGGAGTAGAAACTGCCATTTTTAGCATTGCATGTGATAAGCATCTTTAGATACGTAAGCAATGCAAGTTTAGTTGGTGTACAACAAGTAGTTACTTGGTTATTGACATAAACCAAACTTCTTAACCATAGTTCAGATGGGGCCCGACCTCAACCAATCTTCTTAACCTGGTCAATCAAGCGGAAAATGAAGGTCAGAACCAGCATCAGAAGCATCACATCTGATAAACATCCTTGGATACATAAACCATGCAAGTGTAGTTTGAGATACAAGAAGTAGTTACTAGGTAACTGACTTATCCAAATCTTCATAACCATAATTCAGATGGGGCCCGACCTCAACCATACTGCTTAACCTGGTCTTTTAAGCGCAAAATGTATGTCAGAATCAGCATCAGAAGCATTGCATGTGATAAGCATCCTTAGATGCGTAAGCCATGCAAGTTAACTTGAGATACAAGAAGTAGTTACTTGGTAATTGACATAAACCAATCGTTTTACCATAGTTCAGATGGGGCCCGACATCGACCAATATTCTTGACCTGGTCAGTCAAGCGGAAAATATAGGTCAGAATCAGCATCCGAAGGATCGTATGTATTTAGCATCCTTAGATACATAAGCCATGTAGGTTTAGTTGATGTGAGATAATTAATGACTTGGTAACTGAGCTTAACCATTATTCTTCCCCTTAGTGCAGACAGACGGACAGACAGACAGACGGACGGGAATCGCCAATCTATAAGACCTGCGTTGCAATCCGGCTTAAAATATGAAAATCTCTTGTTTTACCTGTTTAATGATACAACAGCGTCCATTTCACAGTTACTTTGTGATACTTATCTTTTTGTTGCAGAACAAACTTCGTGAGTCGTTAAGGCTCTTTAGATCCGTATGTAAATCCCAGCATCTTTCGAGATCGTCCTTTGTTCTCTTCCTGAACAAAAGGGATGTTTTTGAAATCATGATTGAGAGGAAAACAATCAAATGCTGTTTCCCAGGTTATAAAGGTATATTCGTTATTTGATATTGTATAACCTTCATAATACAGCATTGTGAACACGAAGTGATCGATTTTAGGCAGTTTTTCTATACAGAGAAATTTTCCCGTTTTGATGTAATTTACATAAGCTAATCGAGGCTACAGATTAACAGGTGAACTAATATCTGAATCAGTGGTAGTTGCTATGCATTTCCACACGTTAGTAATCGGGTTTACATTTAGACGACCTAGATTGTAACTGATACTTAGCGATAAGAAGTTTGTTAATCTACCGTCAATTAGATAGAAAATAGCATTTCATCAGTGATATATTATAACCTGTAACCTTTAGTTAAATTATTGTGCAGCTGTTATTTTAGCAAGATATTATTTTGGCGGATGCCGACCTGCCATTTCATGAAAATGAAACCCCCGAAAAAATTGCAAGTTTAACAATGTTTGTCGTATGTTTTCCTCGAGTTTTTATTCTAACATGCCTAAAAATGTATATGTCACATGCCTAAAAATGTATATGTCATTAAAATATCATCAAAACGTACATCAGACGGAGTGGAAGATATAGCTATAAAGGATAAAAGTTTATGTTTGGAAGGCTTATGTTATTTATATACTTCTGAATGCACAGTTTTATATGTTGTATTGATATTCCAAACACATGTGTATACTTGTCTGCTGTAGGTGACAACTCTTTCAAAGAATCTTCCCAATATATATATGAGCAGTTTGAGAAAGCAGGTGGTCGAACAAGTGGAATATACTCTCATTTCACCACTGCCACCGACACGACTAGTTTTGATCGTATCTTTGACACGACCATGGATATCCTCCTCAATAAGAATCTGACGGTGACAGGACTTCTTTAGCCCTACCAAACCAAGTGTGGATCAACACAACAAACCTTCTAAATCCTATATATTGTTCATTGCAGGACGCGAGAGTGTGGGTATTTATCACAGGTCACTTACAGATTACGTGTGTAATGATCTTTGTTTTAACAGACGTTTAATTTCAGCAGTTGTTTGTTGACGACAAGGATTGTAAAGAAAACGTTGTCATTTATTGATATTTCAGTGACAATGTTTTGATACTTCTTTGCGTTTTCCTTGCATACTCAGATGAATTTAAACGGTCTCCTCTCGATGCGAGGGTGTGACATCACTTTGATTTGATTTAGATTAGCATGGCGGGTGTCAACGAAGAAGGAGAATACGCTTACTCTTCCAGAACACCTGGATTTTTGGTCCTGGTTATTTCCTGGATTTTGAATTTAGTTGTGTGTTGCTGTTTTTCTGACACCCCCGTATTCTCTCGTTGAGTTATATACATAGAAACAATGTTCTAGTAATGCTTTAAGTTCATTCATTTTTTTCTTATCGAATATTCATATCTAATTAAAATCATACCTTATTGGTCAATAACGGAACCGTATCCTACTGGAAAGGAACAATAGTATGGTTTTAATTAGATTGCCAGTGTTCAAATGGCTTTTTTTTAAATAGATTAATACGGTCTAGTAATATTTGAACGTTGAATGTTTTTATTTGTTGTATTACATCAAGGTGTTCCATAGCATTCAATGCAAGGAGTTTCCACAGAATTATTTTTGTTTCAAAACAGTTTTGCATGTGGATTGTATGTACTCAATTTATCACACAATAATAACGACACAAGTTTCCATGGAAGCTCTCTCCGGTTTTCGAGACCTCGATCTTAACAAGACAAAAATATGATGTGTTTTTGGTACACAAAGACACAGTGTCACTGACGATTCAACAGAATCAAAGTTCTTGTGACATAAAAGAGAATTTTATCCCGTTAATACCAGTGCGAAAACAACATACCAGTTTGACATATAAAATGTCTGTGTTGTTATCGTTATACACAAACATGTTCCCAACCGTTAATTATTTTTTTTCAAATCAAACAGTCGATAACACATACAATATGATCATGAGAATAAAGTAGAATGAGGATTAAGTATTTGTTCACAGCCGATATTTCTGTATGTGTTTGAAACAAGAATTTCGATTTTTATCATATAACTGTTCGAGTACTTCCTGCCCGTAGAGCATCATAAAATATCTTCCTGTGTGTTGAAGCGGGAGTTATATTTTGTTCTTGAGTGTTGATGCTGTGGCAGATCTGGTCTTGCGATCTAATACTGTAAAAATGTGGTATTTTACTGGATTGTTTGTCATGAAGTATGATATCTCCCTGTATTGTTCAATAATAGTCACTGACTGTAGTGCCACCAGTGTGACAAATGTTGTAAATATCTTGGAGTTGTCAAATACATGTTTTTAAACACAATGTCCATTCAAACGGTATTTACTCTTATTTAAGTGTTTTCCAGTGTTCAGTATGGTTATTATTCAGATGAAAATACCTTGATTATCTTGGTTAATCGTTAGTCCAGGGTAAGAACCGTCTGGAGAGAGTGAGAAATGTAATGTTTTTGCAGAGAACGTATACCCTGCTAGTGTGTATGGACGTCGCCATTCTGTGAACTCTCGTGACCTCTTGAACTGTGTCAGTCGGGGTCACTTGAGTGTTTATTCCGTTGTGTATTGAAAGTATTGGATATATGGGATTCGATGGAAATATGGGATGCGTTGGAAGTATTGGATTGCGAGTCAGAGAGTGAATAACGGTACGAAAGAGTTGTAGATGTGGATACTATGAAATACTATACATTAATGTTGATTTGTGAAGTATTTTTCATACAAGTGCCAATGTAGATCGTCGTATTTTATTTGGGTTCAACGGGTACTACGTTGCGAGCAACGGGTGTGGCGCCGTTACCTCTTCGGAGTCCGCTGGGGAACGGGTGTTGCCCCGTTGAGCTCGTGCGTTGCCCCGTTGATGTTAGCGTTCTTACCAGGGGCGTAGAAATTCCTTGGGTGGTTGGGAAATCAGATGCCATCGTATATTCTGAGGGGAAGGTTGGTTTTGAGCTGCTGGCGGCTACTACACTTTTGGATCGTTCCAAAACCGTGGAGCTGTCAGTAACGTTATGCTTGGTTTGTAGGATAAGGGAAGCAACTCGTAGAATAGAATATGGGGATGGACGGGAGATTTTAGTAATATTAACATTTATGGAAGATAATTTAACTCTGTCTTTCTAGCGTACTTTTGATGGTACTTTTGGTGTTTCAGACAATAGAGTTTGACTTTAGAATCATTGATTCATAGAGCCTAGTGATCAGAATAATTCTAGATCTATATTTTATCCATTTGCTAATCCTATATTAATTCATACAGAGTTGGGGTTTTATAGTATTCATTCATTGGCACTTGGTTCATTTCTGTTATTAGCTAACCTACAGTAGGGATAAATAGACTTGTTTTGTCCCCTACATATATCAGAAAGTTCTGGTATCCAGGGTTCAGACAGAGTTCTACCTTTATTGTACATCATATTTATGAGGGAATTTGGAGAGAGTCTGTAGAATTGTTGTATCTGTATCTGGGTAATTTGATATTGGGTTCCTTAATAAACGGTAACCGTAAAGGTGTGCGTAAACTTATCTTATGCTTTCTGGTTCTTCTTTAGTTACTTAGAACTAGTCAGTCATTAGGTACTTGGTTTGGAAATACCATATAATTTCCTGGGGGCTTGTCATAAGCATTTAGTGACAGTTTAGAATAGTCGTGCTCTCCATGTAAAGGGTTGAGCCAGGGGCGAAGACCGTTACAATACTATAGTGTACATGATCTAGTGTGTTGACGCTTTATTTTGTTTCGAATATTCTTCACTATGTTAAGTGAACGTTTTTTGTTTTATTAATTCCCCATTTATTTTTCACTTTCATAAATTCTTATGCATATGACAATGTATATTTTCTACTACATTACTTCTTACGTGTGAACGTAAAGTTTCCCTTTTGGAAAAAAACACTTTAATAAATTCAAAAGAACTTTCCGAGCCCAAAGCCTGTGTTATGAAGATGAATAATATAAATGTTTGTTTTCTAGCATTTATAAGCAACATTGTCTTATATATTTATTTATTTATTTTCGTTGCTTCCCATAGTCACTGAATCTAACCAAATATATAGTGTTAAGAGACTGATTTCTTCATTTTTTTCCGCTCAGATATATGTTTTCCTTTAAATTTGTTTTATCTATATTTTTTCCTTTGAAAAACGTTACGTTATTCGTGAATACAACATTTTCTAAGTGGCTCCAGGTATAAGATTTATTATCGAAAACGTTTATCTCAGATTTAAATTCCTTCCATCAATGAAAACATATTCTTGGAGTAATGGTACCACCATTGCGCATTCGTTAGGAAAAGCTAAATGATATAAAAACTAGATAAATTGCTATAATAGAACATATGTTATGCCATTCAATAAGCCTTCATTTTCATGCTCTTGCGTGTGGTCTTATTCCCTTTTTTACTTTTCCAATTGTCACACTAATGCACTTATGTAACATGGCTATCCAGTTCTGCTTATTGTATAAAATTGTGTTTCATAAATCAATTTGTTTAAGTGGAAACAGTTGATACAGACATTTTGAAGACGTTTTATCTAATAAACTGTTTTTCATGTTGACAAATTCTCGTCATATTTTTGAGAACAAATCGGTGAGAGAAAAATATCACAGATTATTCATTAAAAAGGAACAAGTGTTGATCGTATTCGAGAGTGTAAAATAATGTTGAATTCTATTAGGATTCAATTGTATATTTGGGAACACGCTTATCATTTTCAATTCCAAGTTTTAACAAACACGACAACTGAATGCCATAATGCTTAAAGACAGCGATCTGATTCGATGAGATTTGCTCATTTGAACGCTTATAGTAACTTTAATTTTCATTATTCATTTTCACTTCAAGTAAGAAGTAAGAATTTATAAATAAATGTAGTCTTTAAACATTAACTGAAATTTAGTAATCACCGTAACTTTAGGCATTTTGCTTTTTCTAGACTATTGACACAGCATGACCATTGTTCCCGACAAGTCGTTAAACTGGTGACATATGATATTCCTGTGATTGAATTGATATGCTCAGTTCTTTGTGAACGGTCATATATTTAGAACGTATGGAAAGACATAAAAAAACTTGGAATATCAAATTTGGAAATACAGATGAGAAGAGTGTAATTTGATATATTGTCGTGTATATTATAACAAAACACACTTTCGAACTGATGTCTGCATTTAAATTGAAAAAATCAAGATACATTAATAAGCATTTAGATAACTTCAAAACATAACTTTTATGAATCTATGAATAATAACGTGGTATTTTGTTTACCTGTTTTTAGTCTGATTTCCTAAATGTTTCTTTAACTCCAAGTTGTAAATAAGACGACAACATTCTATATATGAAAACCTTAAAAACATTCGCCATAGTGAAATTTAGATCATTTGGCTACACTATGTTCACGACATGTATTTTTGCCAAAAAAACATCACCTCTTCTCACCCAGCCTTGATTCAGTTTACAAATATACGTTCTCTCTTTCAATCAAGTTTGAAAAAAGCGTGACTTTTGCACCTTAAACCACACACATTTACGAAGCGCGTCAAACATTTTGTTTCAAAACAAATTTATACATTGCCCTGAATAACAATCGCGATCCAGTGTAAGAAGAACTTATTGCCATCACGATAGTATGTTTCAGCTGCGTTAACCTTCCTCGTTATCTTGTGATGTTGAACACTCCCGATAGCAACAGTGCATCACAAGAAAACTACTGACGCCCATGCGCTGCTCAAAGCCATCTACTAAACGGTTATTATTAGTCATAAGCGGAGGGTAAACAAATGTCATGACAGTGTGAGTGATGGCTGACCGAACCAAGGCCCCCAACCCGCCGTATATAAGGAACCGCGCTGCGTAAGGGAGCTAGCCTTCATATACAAGTTCTGGCAAGTAATTAAGCATATGTTTTTTAAGATGGTGTCTTTTCAAGGAGTTGTGGTCCTCCTTGCATCAGTTTTGGTGGCTACAGATGCATCCTGTTGGTTTAGTCCTATCAAAAACGAAACATCCTGTAAGTATACTATTTTGACCTGTATTCTGTGTTTTTTTATTCGTTTGAATATTACATTAGCACAAATCAAACTTTGAGCGTTTTCGACCCTCATGAAATGTTTAAAACCAACCAAAAACTTCGAAAATTGACAAATATTATTTTCAGACCAACTCAGCATTTTATACGACATTCCATGCCATTAACAGCATCGTTGTTTTAGTTGAATACCAAGTTTAGGAACCTTCCACACTTGTCAAAGTCGTACGAGATAGATCCATTAAAACATACTGATATATAAGGATTATAAAATTAACAAATGCTCCTGTAAAAGTGTATGAATTAGTACCCGTGGTTCGTTAGCTGATGTATAATAATGAAAAATTATGGAGGTATAAACGGTTTGTTGCAGATTTTAAAAATTAATTACTGAAAAATGTGTTGTGTCTCTCCTATGCATATTTAATATAAATATTATGACACAACTGTATATGAAATAAGTTTGAAATTCTGGAAGAAAAAAATATTCATTGAAAGAAACTTTTCTTACGATAAATCTTTAATATAACGTCATAATCCATATAATTTTATTTCAATTTTTCTTACGCATATCAAATCTAAGACTTGAGAATAGTAAGGTATCTTCATGTTCTTAATTTTCTTTAATATATATAAACATATGGACAAAATCAATTTTCTTCATCAATGTAAATTGTTACGCATACTAAAAAGCTTATTGTGGAGATAATTTCCATTGGTTTTGTGTCTCGTGGAGATACGAGGATAGTTGAAAGATATCGTTATTGGATGATAATGGAACTACAATCTAAAGCAAAACATATACGTATAATCATAAACATCTCATTATAGGCAGAATAAAACAATAAAATCAATGATTCAAATAAAATGGGAAATATTTTGTTTTCGAATTTGTTGATTTTTGCCTTTAATTGTTAATTTCAATAGATAAGTATGTCCATCTCTTAGGTACGGGAATCAGTGAGGTTTTTATCTGTTAATTTTGAGAAATCAGAAACTACTTTACGCCATTTAATATCATCAGATCTTTGTTGAGTTTTGAGCGTTGTGATACTTAAAAGAAGATCTGCACATAGGAAGTGGAAGTTTCCAATACAATGCAAAGAAAAGAACATTCCTGCTCTATCTATTTACATTTGCGCTGCAACCCACTGTATGAACGTCACAAGCATAAATGCATTTCATTTGGGTATGAAAGCAAAAAAAACCTCTGGTGACATAACATGTGGTTTACTTATGACGTCATATATTAACCATTTCAATGAGAGTCTTGTCGCTCCGATTCGGATAACATGCAAAATGCCCCTGCGTCAAACGCTTAAATGACTACGGTTAATTATTTGCGCCAATTTTATTTAAATAGGGATGTTCCACCAATGTCGTTTAAAGGGCGACGCATATACAACCCGCAGTTAATAAATAAATTATTTAAGAACAAATAGATAAGGTTAAACAATTGTTCTATAGTTAAAATGTAAATATATGGATTAAACAGCGTTTCTAGTGGGCTTCATGCAATATTGATATAACCGATTTGCATTCATACAAGCATGAAACTTTTAAAAATCCAAGTTCAAAATCGATACAAGCACTAAGAAGATACCAAAACTAGTGGAAATGCACAAGAGTTCATACTCTGTATTATTTATTATCACAGTTGTTCGCTATCTCACTGAACATTATTTACTGGACTTTTTATTGTTTTTTTCCAGTTTTTGGTTCAAAGAGGTTTTATTGTGAGTACTCAAGCCATGCTGAGCCGACAGATAACCAGACGTCCTTGAGCAATGATACGCGCGTGCGTATAAACGTGACGGTTGGTTCCACGTTTGACACGTTGGACTGTGAACACTGCCAGTGTCGACGGGACGGACTTCATTGTTGTGGGTAGGTCTTTGACGATACACATTCTTGTAACACGTTTAATAGAAAGGCATGACATGTTCTACTCTTCCTGATATACAGACTAAAGTGTGATAATAAACTTGTGTTTAAAGACGATTGGGAGCAAAATCTCTTCTATCAAATGATAAAATCATCAGACAGCGGTGATAATAGGGTCACAAGTCACAATACGTGGGTGTGTCTCACGGACCTCGCAATCAGTTACACTCGCTCTGTATCCACCTACAGGTAACAGTAACTTAAACTGTATCTATCAGGATCATATACAGGTAACAGTAACTTAAACTGTATATACCAGGATCATATACAGGTAACAGTAACTTATTCTGTATATATCAGGATCATATACAGGTAACAGTAACTTAAACTGTATCTACCAGGATCATATACAGGTAACAGTAACTTAAACTGTATATACCAGGATCATATACAGGTAACAGTAACTTAGACTGTATATATCAGGATCATATACAGGTAACAGTAACTTAAACTGTATATACCAGGATCATATACAGGTAACAGTAACTTATTCTGTATATATCAGGATCATATACAGGTAACCGTAACTTAAACTGTATCTATCAGGATCATATACAGGTAACAGTAACTTAAACTGTATATACCAGGATCATATACAGGTAACAGTAACTTAAACTATACCTATCAGGATCATATACAACTAACAGTAACTTATACAGTATCTATCAGGATCATATACAGGTAACAGTAACTTAAACTATACCTATCAGGATCATATACAACTAACAGTAACTTATACAGTATCTATCAGGAGCATATACAGGTAACAGTAACTTACACTGTATCTATCAGGATCATATACAAGTAACAGTAACTTATACAGTATCTATCATGATCATATACAGGTAACAGTAATTTATACAGTATCTATCAGGATGATATACAGGTAATAGTAACTTATACAGTATCTATCAGGAGCATATACAGGTAACAGTAACTTATAAAGTATCTATCAGGATCATATACAAGTAACAGTAACTTATACTGTATATATCAGGATCATATACAACTAACAGTAACTGATACAGTATCTATCAGGATCATTTACAGGTAACAGTAACTTATACTGTATATATCAGGATCATATACAGGTAGCGGTAACTTATACAGTATCTGTCAGGATCATATACAGCTAACAGTAACTTATACAGTATTTACATGTATACATGTAACAGTAACGTATACTGTATCTATCAGGATCATATCCAGGTAACAGTAACTTAAACTATATCTATCAGGATCATTTACAGGTAACAGTAACTTATACTGTATATATCAGGATCATATACAACTAAAAGTAACTTATACAGTATCTATGAGGATCTTGTACAGGTAACAGTAACTTAAACTATATCTATCAGGATCATTTACAGGTAACAGTAACTTATACAGTCTCTATCAGGATCATATACAGGAAACAGTAACTTAAACTATACCTATCGGGATCATATACAACTAACAGTAACTTATACAATATCTATCAGGATCATATACAAGTAACAGTAACTTATACATTATCTATCAGGATAATATTCAGGTAACAGTAACTTATACAGTCTCTATCAGGATCATATACAGGAAATAGTAACTTATACAGTATCTATCAGGAGCATATACAGGTAACAGTAACTTATACAGTCTCTATCAGGATCATATACAGGAAACAGTAACTTAAACTATACCTATCAGGATCATATACAACTAAAAGTAACTTATACAGTATCTATCAGGATCATATACAGGTAATAGTAACTTAGACAGTATCTATCAGGATCATATACAGGTAACAGTAACTTATACTGTATCTATCAGGATCATATACAGGTAACAGTAACTTATGCTGTATCTATCAGGATAATCTAACAAATTTTAAATTTCAAAAACAATACTGTGCTGATGTAGAAGAGAGCTCGGTCACTTTAAGGAATTATGTTTTTGATTTTAAATCTTCTAAAACATTAAAAGAAACCACAAGTAGTACACGTAGTATCATTTCAGGCAACCAGTAAAAAACAAATACATTCAGAATGATTTTGAGAAATAATTGTAAATTTCCTACACCCTGGAAAAAACACTATCCTTATTGAGACTACATCGATGCATTCTATACTGTATACAAAGATGCTCAAAATAAAACACTTACTTCAAAAATGAGGCTACTGAAAAAGTAAATATTATAGGCCAGCTCGTTTTGTTAAATGAGTTGATGTAGATATGTAATACCTATCCGCCTTCTTTGTCTTCATTTTCTTTGTCATAAAACATTGCAAAAGATACAACACGGGTTTTTAAAAAAAGAAAGGACTTGTTGATAAAAATAACAGAAAGTATCATTTGTTTGTTCTTGTAAATGTAGCATCATTAACAAGGGACCAATGTAGTAGCAATTTCACATTTAAATGTAATCAAAACACAAATCTTTGTATGGAAGATTTAGTTTTTCCACTCCCACTTTTCCCGTGTTTGACCAAATATTGTAGGACAGGAAAGTTGAGGAAATGTTTTACTTGTTTAGCCATCAAATTGATAGCCTACATCTATTTACTATTTTCACATGATACTGTCAAACAACTTTCTCTACATGACAGATAACGTATTGCATACCATTGGCGGTATGACTACATGCATGTTTGAAATCTAATTTACAACAAATTATATGGATGTGATCACGTAGTTCATTTCACAGCTTTTGGTTGAATAATATATTTACAGAACTGGATTTTACGCGGGAACGTTCCAGGTACCAAAGAAATGTGACGTTATCCCAGATGGATGTGAGCCAATCATTGTCCTAGCAGAGGATCACAAGCTAAATTGTTTCACCAAAAAGCCAATCAGACCAAACCAGTACGGGATGATGCATGTTAGCAATACGGGACCTGAGAGAATGGATAAGATTGTCCGCCGTGTGTTCCATTCTTCTAGTGGTGACTCCGAAAAACCTAAAGTCAGGACCCAGCCAATGGTAGTGGCAAACAGACAAAACAGTCACTGGCCGGACAACTTCCTTGGAGACATGGTTACCATGAACCCCTCCGTTTGGCCAATTCAAAATCAACCAAGGTCATCGTCAAACTCAAGATCCTTTCGTGTCTCCTCTAGATCCGACAACACTCCTGTAGGACAATCTTCCAGGTCAGTCCTTGTGCCTTCAGGTTCCCCGATGGTCTGGCCAATTTCCCAGGATCCTCAGACAACGTTTTCAAGGTCTATCTCAATGAGGAGAACTAACGAGGCATTCCCGGAATCTAAACAGGAAGTTGTTCCCAAGCAAAACGCTGACAAACCATCCACAGACATGGAACTCAATCGGCTTCTAGCAATGAAACTTCTTGGATTGGCTTAGTGAATTATTAAAGTAGAAGTGTTGATATTGCTATTATGATAAACGGAATATTAAGAGCTATCACTAACTCATATTTAGATCTACAAATTTACAAATTAGCACCAGCTTTGCTGAAATTTGCGATTGCAATGTCTGTGATAACTATAGTGTTTATGATATAACAAATATTAATTCTATGTATAAGTGACCCACTCTTCGAACGCTATATAGTAATATAATGTGCATTCCTTGTAATGTTTACCATGCCACCAAAAACCATGAATACAATTACATTGTAAGCTAGTCACAGCCTACAAGACACGGTGATAAACTTTTTAATGACGTTCTGTGTGCTTCTGGATAGGTGACAAATGCCTTCCAGTGTTTTATACAGCTAGTGAATCCTGAATGAACCAATGACCGGTCGGGAAAATTATTGTTTCCGTTATGAATAACTTCGTTTGCTAACTAATAAAGGAATTATTTCACGAACTATTCAAGATTTTATTTTTCACGTTATTTACCTACTATAACCGATTGATTGACATATTCTGATGAACAAGACTAGTAATACACTACGTTAGTGCAGGTCTCATTCCAGTGTACGGCAGTGCGTTAATATAGGTTCATCTACTTCAAATGACAAGATCCTTGATTTCGAGGTTCCTCTTGGATTGGTATTAGCACCACAAAAATATTGCTTTCTTTAAAAACACATCCGCAGAGATGAGTTGTTGTCATAGTATTCGCTGCCACTGTTACACTGATAACATACAAATCAACATACTAGTCTGCTTAGAAACTATATCAGAAAGTATCCAGTATCCGGATGAAACCGATATATTGAAAAGTTATCATTTACTTTGTGGAAAAGCTTACCTTTTGCTACCAGTATGTCGAAAACTATTGCCAAATTCAAGATGGATATCAAAATGCCCCTAGCATTTCAGCCTCTTTAGCTTATAAATAAATTCCCACCAATATTAGCACAAAAAATTAATACGTTAAACAAGTGTGCGACATGCATATTACTTATAATCTACACAGAACGTTTCATTTTTCATTGCTGAAAATGGCAATACTAGAGTATTGCAGTTCTATGAAATTTAAAAATGACGTTAACAGCGACGTTAAATGGTAAGTAGTGTATGCTTTAGAAAATGGTGATGCGGCCATGTAACAGGCATTGCTAGTTCTGACATTAACCGGAATCATGGACATGAATACTAAACGGAAAACCTCGACCAGAACGTACCTTTGGTACTCATACTGAATCTACAACTTATCCCACTTTTCTGATGTCATCTTTTAAAGCAAGTCCTCAGTTGTGTTACGTTATATTCTGGATGGTACGTTTTGCATAGTATATTTAGTTAAGGACTTGTTGTCAGGAAAATGTGTAATGTACACAAATTACAGATAATGTTTTACAAAGCATCTAAATTGATAAATCATCACTACAACGTGAATAGTACATGCCCTCCCTGTCATTTTGTAATAAAATCTAAGGATAGAAATATGACGCACATATGTCTGGTCAGAGCTAATTTCTTCTTAGACGTGGTTGCCTGATGGCCAATATGTTCTACATGCTCATGTTTGTTTTTAAAGTACTTCTTATAGCCGTATTGTTAATGATATTCTCCTGCTCCTAATACATTGATTTAACGATAAAAGGTAGAGAAACCCGACCTTAAATTATGACGAGAACAATTACAAATTTATCTTATAGCTTTCAAATGCTGATCAGCATCAAAAGCCAAAGTAGGAAACAGTATAATACTACCTATCATAAACGACAGGTCCATCTAGACACCAATAACGGACATAAGTTGTGTATGACTTCTTGTTCCAAATGGTAAGTTTGTTTATACACTATTAATGATTGTTAATCAATACAGATGTTGGCCTACATGTTTGTCAAATAAATAGGTACTGTTATAATCATTTAACATCATCTAATGTCTAAAGGTCGTCAGCTCATACAGTACAAAGTCAAAACGGAATGGTTCTAAAATCTGAAATCTCCCTTTTGATGTATGAGAAGCGTTTGCTTTAAATAGGTAATGGATTTTTCGTCACCAAAAATGTATCCCTTGACTACAGCAGGAGACGTCTGTCTGAAGATAGCTTTTAAATTCTGACGTCAGCCTATTTTAGCACAGAATAATGACAATTCATATTTTCCATTTTCCGTTAATAATATAAGTACATTGTACACGTTTTTCCTACAGACTACATCTGATCAATTCAACATACCAAAACGTTGTAGATTTAAATTTTAATAGGATAACACAATTAATGTAGTTTGATTAAACAGCACACGTAGATTAAATAAACAATATACAGGAAATAGACACAATATAGAAGCGTGTTCAGAGCCTCTGTTATCACCCCTAGAGGTAGACCGGTATAACGACTACGTCTGCATCAAATGCCTTCAGCAAGACTTCTTAAAAGTAGCAGGTTGCTGAGAGAATTGTCCTGCTGGGGCTGGCTTCTCTGATAGAATCCTTGTGGGAAGAAGTTTGGAAATGGAAAATTGAAGCCCGGAAACTGTGTGTTGGTACCAGGGTTCCCGGTCGGACGTGGACCTTCCTTGATTGGTCGTCCAGTGTAGCAGGCCAGGGTCTGGTTACTTTTCAAAACCAACAGTGGTTCGCATCCGTCCGAAATCACGGTACAGGAGGGCGGAGCGTACGTAGTCTCGTTCTGAACCCCGAACCTTCAAAAGCCAAGACGGATACAATTATTTTAAAACCAAGACGGGTACAATCGTTTTATCTTGTGCATTTGTTTTAAGATATACAGGTCGCGATTATATCCTGACGACTTCAAATGCTAATATAATGTCATTTTCACAAATTCAGTGACTAATTTGATATGCAAAAGGTATAGCGTAATTGTATGGTAGAGATTCGCATATGACATGAAATATGAATATGAAATTGTTAATCATTAATTATCAAGTTTTGTATCATGCAAGCAAATAACGTGATGTGAATGAAATGCAATCACTTAAAGGACACATAGAATTAAAGCGTGTATCCTAGATATCATAGTGAATGGAATATAATTTCTTTCTAAATATTAACACTAACTGGTTTTGCTACATGACTCTTTCTCCAGGGAATCCAGATTCATAGATAACACCTAGCATGGAAACCTTCTTATTGACTCACGTTCAAACTTGCCACCAGACTGCGAAGGTGTGTATCTACGAAGCAATTTGTAACAAATATAGGATGGTTTTAAGTCATACAGCAGTATATCGACCTGTTATATAATTGTTTTCAAACAGTTTATGAGGTTTTAATTCCCGAGTGTTAAACGTGACGCCATTAGAATTGAGATGTCGGCTATACAGATTTCAGAATTGAAACTGTTATAGCCAGACAATTGTTAATATAAGTATATATAGGTAAGCATTAACCACTATAGATTTTTGTTGATGAAATCATCACTATTATCTTCCCTTAGGCTAATTTTGACGGTTTTGATTTGTGCATAGACACGAGTTAATCCTGCATTGTTTATATATATCTTATTGTGTCTATATATGGCGGTTAGTATCTACCTGATCTAACATTTAATCCAGTGTTATTTGTACAATGTAGCACGATGTATCGGTTTCTATGTGCCACACATTGAATAAATCATGTATTGTGTGTTACCAAGCCTCAGGATTCATCCTTGATCACATTGCCAGTCGCTAATACTGCTGGCGAAGTGACGTTTCTAACAGATTATTTGCGGCAACCTGATAGGTTGTCATTAGAACCAAAAGTACCATCGGTAGTATTTTGTTTACATATATATAACTGCATGCATATTTACAGCTTTTGCAAACCCTGGATACACATCCTTCTATTTATAAATTTAATGTTTCCTCTTTTTTAAATTTAATTTCCGTCTTTTGCCGTCATCGAATATCCAGCTTGTACGCTATCTACCTTATCTTTTGGCGTATCCTACGTCAACTACTTTAAAGAGTTGTTTAATGATACTATCGAGTATCTGGCTTTAATTAGACCACGTTATCTACCATACAGTTAATCTTAAAATACGTTCACAAACTTACGTCTTTTCTTAGACGACATTTTACATAACAGCCGACATTTGAGCATGATATGTATACTCAAACGATGTTGTCGAGTTATCTACTTAGCGGCTTATCTTAGACGACGTCATGACATTAATGTATGTAGTATGTGTTGCTACATACGTATGATTTTTAAAACACAGCGTTAATCAAGAGTTTCATAATTATATGCAAACCGACAAATCATTATTATGTATCTTTTATATAAATCATATGACATTATATCTAATTATAATATATGGTATATGATGAAGTGTGATTCACCTCTGGCATACAGTTTCTCATATACAATTTTAATGGTGCAGTCACCTGGGGGAGTGTGTTACTTTCATCTTGTATAGCTACGGGTTATACTTGTATAACATGTATATGTAATTACGCACTCTTGTGTTGATTTCGCATATAATATCTAGATTATAAGTAGATAGCCATGTTTTTAATATATATACAAATGTATAATGCATATCCATAACACTCTATCAGGCCGTTGGTACGCTTAAGTTGAATATATATACACATGTATAACATACCCATAACACTCTATCAGGCCGTTGGTACACTTAAGTTAAATATATATACACATGTATAGCATACCGACAACACTCTATAAGGCCATTGGTACACTTTTGTTAAGTCTATATACACATGTTTATCATACCCATAACACTATATAGGGCCGTTGGTACACTTGTGTTAAGTCTATATATACATGTATAGCATACCCATAACACTCTATAAGGCCGTTGGTACACTTAAGTTGAATATATATACACATGTATAACATACCTATAACACTCTATGAGGCCGTTGGTACACTTGTGTTAAGTCTATATAGACATGTAATACATACTCACAACCTTCTATAGGGCCATTGGTACACTTGTGTTAAGTCTACACATGTATAACATACCAACAACACTCTATAAGGCCATTGGTACACTTGTGTTAAGTGTATATACACATGTATAACATACCCCCAACACTCTAGCAGGCCATTGGTACACTTTTGTTAAGTATATAAAGACATGTATAACATACCGACAACATTCTATAAGGCCATTGGTACACTTGTGTTAAGTCTAAATAGACATGTAATACATACCCACAACACTCTATCAGGCCGTTGGTACACTTGCAGTCCATACAGGCAGCTGTCCTGAACGACGACCCATCCAGGATATCTAATCCATTATACTCGCACACAGGAATCTGTCGACCGGACACTGGTGAGCAAAAACACAAATTAGATGGAAGTAAACTACTGTATGCTCTAGGAATCAACAAAGCAACAAGTTGATATAGCATTATATTATACGTCTACGTGTTAGAACAGCGGTATACCTAAAGACATTACAGTTTTGAAACATTCTTACTTTTGATTTTCCATGTTGGAGTTCCAAAGCTGTTGCAAATGCGTGTAAAATGTTATAACCTTGTCCTTGTGTTTTGACGCCTTGTTAGATACCTGATTATATTGTTTTGTACAACTAAAATCATGTCTAGAGATTAAGCTAACAATTGAAATAAAACCTTAAATTTCAATGTGTATGACCGATTTAAAGTGTAAGTGTAACAACAAAGAATGGGTTCAATAATTTACATAAAACTTGGCATTTGTAAGGCCCCTTCGCCTTGCACAGATATTTCCATAAACTCGCTTACAAGAACATCTTATCCTTTAGGACCAATACAGCCAATGGTGCATTATATGAGAAAAAAATCACAGACAGACGTTTATTCGGCAACAGTTTTCATGAACATTTTTTAATAATTTTCAAAAACATTAAGAATGTTTTTCCTTTTTTCATAATGAAGCTTCCTATATTTAAGCCGAGAAATAGAACATGTCAGCCTTTACACCAGTTAAATCACGGTCCACTTACCTTAACATGTAGTAGAAATATGTGTTCTTTTAAGAACCATTCGGAATTTCCTATGGTATCGTTCAAATTTAACCATTAAAGATTTCCCCAATATTACCAATACAAATCTTAAAAGAAATCGAACAGGTACTTTAATCGCATTTCGTTAATGAGAAAAAGCAGGTGTTCTAATGGGTTGAACCGAATAATTGTTGTCTTTTTATTTCTAAATGTACAGGTTTCTTCTTTTTATCCGTGTAAACAGTAACTTTCACTTCACCCTTTTACTAAATGACACAATCTATTCTTCATCCTTTAGGGTGTTTATTGTTCTCGCATGGATTAACATGACAGAAACATATAACGGAGGCATTGTAGTGTATGAGAGTCTACATTTGTATGAAATACACAGTGTGAGTCAACGGGTCCCCAAGGTTGAAACTTATCATTACTTCCATGAATCAGTCGAGGTTGGCACCGACTTAATGTGAAGCTGCCCTAATTAACAGACATGACCTATTTTATGCAGTATACATGTGATTTGTTTTAAAATTATCGCACTGAAATATTTCAATCCGTGCATTGAGTCGTTAAGATTACAAATGTGTATTTTTCTCCAATAATTGTTTTACTTGTATCTTTGTGTGAAACTTTCTTAAACTGATTTAAGAGTACAGTACATATTAATCCTGTGTGATAAAGACAAAAGTATAAACATTATGGTAAAAGTTTCAGGTCTAGCATGCAACTTTGCTGAGTGCTAAATTCTATAAAAATGGTGAACCTAATGCACAGAGCCATTGATTAAGTTTTCAGAATAAATGCGTGTAAGTCTTTCTCTATGTAATGATATACGAATCTCCACCCTTGCAAAGCCTGGAATGCACCTTTGATACGTAGAGAAAATGCATGCCACTATATAGGAAAGCTCGTCATTGAAAAGGAATGTTCGCCGCTTTAATATGTGCGTCTTTACTGCGCAAACACTCTTGAATACGCTAACCGACTTAATATCCAGTGATTACTACTAAGCCGTATCTCAAAGGATGGCGTGATTTCTTTGAGAACTCAAACAAAATTGAAAAATGAAAATACACATCAGAAAAATAAGAACATTTTATCAGGTGCAAATCTCTTAATTTAAGGAAACCCTTTTTTGGTTTATGTCGCGCAATGGACCGATTGCAAATTGTTTTCGGGGGGAAATCGTTTATAGTTTATGATAGCTAGTGCATGTACTTCTAAGTAGATATTGAAATCGGTCGTTAACTTTCAAATAAAGATAAACTGGTGTAAAGAACCCTATGCCAACTGTCGAGGGGGTTATTATGTCACATAATTAGACCAGTGAAATTATTTGGCTAAAATATCGGAACTATCACAACTGTTAAATAGTGCCGCTTTGAATATAGGCACGCTAACCATTACGCTACTAACGAACATGAAAACATATTGGTAACAACCTGTCCGACGGCCAATAGAGTCGATCATATGTGTGACCTAAAACATATCGAGTTACCAGGATTACGGGTATAACAATGTCGTCATAACATCATCATAATTCTAACGTACTGTGTCGTATTCTTCAGACACCTATGTCGTATATGGGATAACTGTCAATTTCAACATACTAAGTCGTAATAAGGCGTTACCATGTCACAATTAGCACATACTTATTAAGTTGTCATTGCGAGATAATTATGTCGTTATAATCAGGGCTTACATTAGACACGTGAAAGTAGGTTTTGACTCCCTGATATGAGCTTTGACAGTTTGGTTTAAATTGATATGTCTATTTGACATGTGTTTTGACCCTACAGATTCAATTCTGAATGGCTGTTTTGACTTTTTGACTTTGATACATGGTTTGAGCGAATTACAAGAAAGTCGGTTTGAGCACAGAAATAACGCTAGAGTATGAGAACGGTTTCATGAATAAGGGCCCTTATCATGACATACAAAATACCTCATTTGGCACTAACCGGATTCCGTAAATATGCTATTCATCCAATTAAACATGCTTTACCTTTTGTTTTGTTTGGATAAAATACCTTAGGAATGTTTTCTTGCCATACATGTTTCATACCTGTCTCGTCAACTCGCCCGTATCGAGTGAAGCAATATCCTTTGACGAGGGGGAATATCCCAAGGAGGAAAAGCGTCCATGTCAGAGCCATACTTAAAAACAGCTTTCGTTTGCCCGCTGTGTACAAAACAAAGTCCTGGTGTCCCGGGTTGTTCTCACTTATATGGCAATGTATGAAATGATATATTATCTGGTTATGGGGACCTTTGTTGTCTGGGCGTGGACATGCGTGTTATATAAGGAAGACTGTTTATTAATGCTAGTCCATGCTAACAAAGTACTTCATCGTGTGAGGCTTAAGTGCGACCCTAATTTGTTCGGCCAAGCTGCTCGGGGGGACAAGAGGGTCGCACGCTGATGTGTGTACGGCAAAAGACCAGAGGTCAGTGTCATTGGTCATTTTTTTATTGTGCCAAAAACTATTTACGCATTTGTTTACACGTTGTATGTTCCCTTTTCAGTGTTTTTATCTTACGATCCTGTATAAATACAAAAGGACATTCCTTTAATTATAATTTATGGAATCTTTTAAAATAAACCATTCATGGTATATGGATACATAAAGTACTCTCAATTAAAATGTCCCATTGCCTTTTGCTTATTAAATGTATAATTCCCGGAATCGTGCAACTTCACTAGAAACTTTAAAGTAACGACAAGTAAACTTTATACTATAGTTCGCCATTTGTTAAGATTAAAATGATCAGTTTTATATCATCAGTGATTCAATGAAACATAGCCGACACTGTAAAATCGTTATGTTAGTTTTTAAATCTGCCTGTTTTAAGCTTAATAAATATATAAGTTATTTTTCAGCGTGTTTATAAAGGTAAGTATTGTTCTAATGCAATGTGTCTGGTGTCACGTATTTCTTTTGCTCTAAGGTAAACGCATCTACGTCAGATAATGTATAACTCCTAAATGTGCTTAGAGGGGCCAGGTTGACGTACTTAAACATCATGGATGAGTATGAGTAAGATTTAATAGTTTCACCCTAGAAAAAACATCCCCAAACCGAGGTGTATCATCACCGTAAACTTGAGGTGTTTGCTGTATATAAAGCTACGTACCCTCCAGACTAAGAAGGCGCATTCTAGATAATTACACTGCTATTTTTAATTACTGATAAATATCATAAAACTGAGATGTTCGTGTCATTCAAGATGAACATCATCACCAGACTGTGGTGGAGTAACAGGATGAGCATCGTCGTAACCTATTTTCATTATTCTAACAAAACATTTAATAAAGAATATAACTGAAGGTTATATAAACAGATCTCTACAGCATCTATCAGGGGGCATTTTTAACACATGTCTTGCGCATAAATGTTATTGATAAACGTTCCAATATGTGAGTAAAAGGTTATATCAGTAACGTGAAGGTTGGTACACTTTTCCATATGTATGGTGCAACATTATTATTTTGCAATACAAATTAATGCTGCCACTTCTAAATAACAAGGAGATGGCTTCAAAAGTTGTTATAACTTGTGCCAAATCCTATTTTCCAATTCTGGTTAATAAAATATGTTTAAAATCAAGTCTAAATAACATTTCATCTAGTTTTAAGGAATTGGAGCAAAATGTATCTGCTTACCTCTTACACATTGCTCATAAATTAAATTGTAAAAAGAAACGAAAAACAAAAGGAAAAAGAAATTCCAGGAAATGGTACGGTTTGTCATTATTATATCCTATCACATTGCTAAACATAGAATAAATATTTGTTTAGATGCCTTTTTTTCTTTAAATGAAGAAAAATATTTTTTAAACTGTCAACAGTTACCTTTTTATAGACTGACTCATATGATGAGCTCGAGAGGTGTTCCATTTTGGGTACCCGTGTAGCTAAAACTTAAATGTGAAGGTAACTCAACTAAATGAGCTCTATATATAGACATGCGCGCGGGTGATACCAAAGAAATATGTGAAAGTTCGTTATATGTTGTTTTGGTGATGATCACAAGTAATTAAATATATTAACAATATTATTTTTAATAGCGTCCAATACCGGAGCGAAACTAGCCCTTATTTGGAGTTGACTCATGAAGGAGCGGGTTCAGGACAGGGCCTTGGTAAAGAAGGACAATGGGTGTTTGTTTTCATTTTTACCTCATCAAGATGTTTCGGACTTCGTTGTTTTGTTTTCCTGTTTACAAATTATGTGTATTCACCTGCGCACCGGCGTATAGGCAGCTACGTGCATGGTAGTGTTTTATTTTTATTTTTACCTCATCAAGATTTTTCGAACTTCGTTACTTTTGTAAAATGTGTTTTCATGTCAAATATGCGCGGAATGTAGATCGTGAATCCAATACCTAATGGAAATTATGTTTTTCATGAACTTTGTAGTAACGTTAGTGATACTTACACTATAACAGAAGGGTAAAACTAACGTGACGGACTCAAAGGAATTGGCTGCAGAATACTGAACGTTTGTCGGTATGGTAATATATTATTATGTATCTCTATAGAACTGTGAGTATATCAATGGGCTTACAATTTATAAGCATGTTTCTAGTGCAAGTTTGTAAAGTGGGGTAACACAGTTTAAATTGAATCTAAAACTTCTCTGTATGAATACCTTACCACATACAACCTCCTTAGTGGGGTCAAAGAGAATAATGTTTGCAATGCAACATTAGCTTCTCGTATTAAGCAAAGAGAGAAAGGCAAAACTATAGGACCACTTTTTAGACTTTTTAGAAACATTTGATCTGGTAGATCCAGAGTTTTTGTTAAAAAAAAAATCATTTCTCAATAGACGGGTAAGTTCATCATCAATACTATAGTGACCACGCTCACTTCAGCTCTCTGCAATATTTCATTGCAAAATCGAAGGCACAGTATGCACCACCTTGTGGATGAGACGAAAAGACTAATTTGATCCTTTGATGTACATCAAAAGAATATCGCGGTCGCGGAACGGTAGAATTGACTGGCTTTGAAATTGGGCGTCGCTCCTCTGAAATCTTCGAAAGGCAGGTATCAGCCAAGCGATTGGTCGTGGTTTTTTTTACCTGAGACCAATCAAATAGCTAGTCGCGAGCCTTCACGTTTGCAATGACATAGTCCAGGGGTGCAGAGTGCGAAAGTAAGCGTAACCCCTGGAGTATCGCGGACGGGCAAGTTCGAACCTAAACGGTCGTAACCAGCCTTTTGTAGACATTGATTCTCGCCCAATGCAACTCGTAAGTCGGGAGTTAACTAGGGATCAATCACCGTCTCTTTCTATTCACGATATAAATAATTTACCTCTACATATCCCAAAAAGGGATGCTCACTTAATGTCTCAGTGCGTCTTAACGGATTTGTACAGAAACTACAAGAACAGTCAGTCTAAGGAAAGGTGTTTCATTGTTGGATCAATTGGTCCCTACATAGAAAACTGAGGGAATGAAATTGAAAATGGCAAAAATTTAGATAATTTAAATAATTATAGAAAAACAGAACCCTTATGTTCCAAATAGATACAGTGTACCTAATAGTTATAACTATTCTGCGCTAGTGCGCATTATAATGTTAACCTGCAAAGCTGTGTCATACGTATAAACTGTAAATGCCATATACTAACACAGCTTCGTGCATAACTAGAGAGATAAGCATGCGGAAATAACCTTAAATACTAATCTGGTAAAGTGTGTTTTCGCAAATATTCACATTTTTCTCAAAAATGTAGTGAAAACAACATTCTTTTTATTTCGTACATGATTTATGGAACAAGTCGTAAGAATTTTCATTTTAGCGAGCCTAGACTCATATAAGATCCTACATTAATGGGGTTGGTGCAGAGGTTGGGGAGAGGGAGAAGTTTGTATCCGGTCAACCGATCCTAATACGGTTGGCGTAAGACACGAAAACGTCTCGTTTAAGTCACGCCAGACAAATGAGGTATCTGAGTGAATTGGTGGTCTAGAAAGTTTACTGACTCGGAAAATAGGTGTGCTTACAAACGCATGATTACAATGGGAGTCATGAAAAATACCGACGTACATACATACGTACGTATATAGGTACACGTACTTAATTAAATGACGCAATTCTTTAAATTCGTCATACTAATGTCGTTTGTAAATCTACAAAGAGTTATAAAAACATATCACATACCTAAATACTCATCTGACGAGGCGGATTGTCATTGTCCCGTTCATATTTTTTTCCATTCACATTACACAATCAAAAAAACCTAGGATGCAACACCAAGCATAATTGCAGATAGTATGGGTGTACAGCTGCCACTTCTATATATACAAAATAAGCCCCATGACTGATATAAGTTATAGATTTATTGGTGGATCCAGGGGTAGTTTACCACTAAGAATAACACTGTATAGAAAAATGAGGAGATTAAATTAAAATGTGTGATACATGGTAAAGTACGAATTTTACTGATCTTTCGCTCTAGTCAACATCACTATTTGCTATTTGGTATGATTGATAAACGTTTTATACCGGTTGCGCATGAAATTGATAAAAGTTCAAACACATTGATGATCAGCTGTAGGCGAAACATTTATCATATTAGTATAAACAATTTTCACGGTTTTTTATCAGACAGTTTTCTCTCGGAGTCATCCAAGCGTAAAACGACACACGACTATTCCCATTGACGTCATTTTAAATGGCTGTCCATGTACGTACGTAAAAACACATATATTCTTAAGCACACGGATATCGCATTTAATGTCCTCGAGCTGAGGTCTGGATCTTGGTCAGCTTATCCATTGGATAACAAAACGAGTGGATGCGAGTACCTTGGCCTGTATTTGGTCATTTTGAGCTGGACAGCATGCAGTGACTTTCTTTTACAATGGGGTTACATTATTAGTTGATTTAAACATTTTTTTATTTGTCATTCAACAAAAAGGATTAGGCACAAGTTATCTCAACTTAGAAACGCCCTCTCCCATACATTTCATTATATTGATTACATGACAACAACAACAAATATATTTATAATATATATGAACAAAGAAGAAAGGAAGGGAAAAGGGAAGAAAAGAAATTTAGAAGAATAAGAAAGAGAGATGATAGGATAATACTACTGACCTTAAAATCTGTTACTATTTTTAATGTAGGTTTGGACTATATGGAAGATATTTTCATTGTCTTCATCTGACAAATTTGGAGAACCGTACAT